GTGTGATCCTTCACACTTCCACAACGAAAAGTGATATTAAGCTACCTCGTCCGCAACAAATTACGAACATTAAGTCGTCACGTCTGATGACTGTGAACTACGTAAATCAAGATAACTAGACTGAGGCCCTTCAGTCCTCCTCATCCAACTCAAATGTTGTGAGATCACTTGTAGATCACTAAGACCACAGCAGAGAAGCCTAACGAAACACGTCTTGGTGTCGACTAACTTTGACCAACAACCCGCAGTACTGCACACAAAGACCACGGTCGCGCTATTGTGACACGCTATGCATTCAAAACGCCTACAGCGACCAGTTTGCACGGGACTGGCCAAGATGCTCAGAAAAATAACTACCTAAATTCCAGAAAACAGATGTCGCTGCAAAGGAGCACCTGATGATTAGAAAAACCCTCAAGTGCTTCTATAGAAGAAGACTAACGGGTAGACTAGGAGAAAACAGAAGTTTGTGGTTTCAGCTAAATTTGAAGATCGAAGCATTCTGGACCATGGCTGAAGAAATCAGCTTACAAAACATGACTCTTTTCTGATAAAATAGGATACACAAAACAGGAGGTGGAGTGAAAGCATACAATAACGGCCGAATCAAATTCCTGACACCACGCATTAATGAAGTAATAGAGTTGATAAAATCCTTCCAGTATGTCTTTACTGAGATCAGCGCAAATTTTCAAATAGAGGAATGTAACAACTTCACACAGTCTATAGAACACAAAAGGAGGAGATGGAGCAAACGATATTGAGGTTGACGCACCTGGGTTTTGATCAGATATTAACAGCTGAAAACTTTGTGATTGTATTTGCTGCCAAGAATACGACCTGTGGACGTGAACGTAAGAGTGCTGAAGAGACCTGCATTTGGCATCTAATACTTAGTGAAGATCAAAGATAGTAAACACATGAACGCAGACTGAAACTGGCTCTGTTCGACCATGCTGGCATATTCACTGTGTAACTGATTACTTTTCATGTACAATATATTATTCTATCCCTAACCCAAACGTGTCCTCTAGAAGTGCTAAACATATTGGTGACTCCATGTAGGACGAGCCAGTATAAACAATGATATAGTTTCTGTAGAATCCAAACTAATGTTTGGACTGAAGAATAAATGTCTAAGTAGTTTAGATACGAGCTATCGCCCAGTTGAGTGGGAAAATGACGTTTCTAGACAAATATTACTATCCAGTTATTCAACCAATAATTGTTCAATTAATCAAATCAATCACAACAAATAAATGCTATTCTATCCTGTCTGGATAGACCACGCACAGATTCGTTCAAAAGATAATATTTGGTTGCTTTATAACACAGTGTTTCCAATTCTGGAAGAGTGCTTCAATTCACAATCAAAAATGCACAATTCCAGTCAATACAAGCAACGAAATCAAAAGGAGCAACAAACCAATATGGTTGCCACCAAGACTAATTATCAAGTAAAACAACATAAGTGCTGTTTGGGAAGAAACATCGAAACTTAGTGAAGGCATAAGAAGAAAAAAACTATAATAAAATAGAAATGTAACCAACTCAACTGGAATAAAAAAGACTAACGAAATGTACAACTAAAGGAATCAATAGGAAAAAACTGCGAATGTATACATGGAGGGATTTTCACACACAAAGCACTCAAAATGGATCTTAGAATCTACCATTATAACCAGTTGTATCAGTGATCGTTTTACTGCACTCTTTTTGTTTAATTGTACCAACAACACACTCTTACGTTGTTTGTGACTTTACACAAATTCTCGTACGCTCGGCAGTCTCGCTTGTAGATTTTGACACGATCTCGGTATTATTTCGTTATCACGAGATCGCCGACAAATACATCTTAACTACAACCTTCAACTGCCTTCTGATATTTGGCCTATGGAGGGGTCTAACCTGGTAACTGGCACGTAGTCTATCTGTAGTGGTGATCATAGTTGACCGGGACTCGACGCCAACTATACACACACAAGTTCGTCAGCCACATCTTTGGAGACAGGGGTTCACATGGAAGGAATCAGGAGATAGAGTTCTCTTCATAGATATCCTAATCAGTAGAACTAATACAAAAACTTTGTAGTCACAAATACGCGCGAAACCAAGTCATGCAGACCAAATCTTAGATCATAACAGCGACAACTTGACCGCCCACAGAGTGAGATCTAAGCAGAGAAAATTTAGAAGAGCTGGACTGAATTTCAGCTTCCTCGACGTGGAAGACTGGTAAGCGCCATTTCATGTACATCTGTAAAAATGGCTACTCGCGTAACTTCAAAGAATGTCTACTAAATCGATTCACTATCATGAAATCATTTTTGAAAATCAGATCTCCCTCCCGCTAGCTTACAACTTGATGGTCCTCCACAAATTATAAACTGGTTATCCATATCACTGAGACAACAACCAGAACTCACACTTGTAATTATCCAATCAAGCCTTACTTTCCTGTCTATGTAATAAAATCCCACATTCTGACCATTGACACGCTTCAACGGACATGACGAAACTTGAAATGTGGTTGAGATAATTCTAAACCTTATTAGTCCAGAACACATACTTGTTTATTCACGTAATGAGTCCGATAAGTGGGCACAGCACCAAATAAGCTTCCATATATTTATATTTTAAGCCCTCATAGGTTTATTTACATGGGCTATCAAACAGCAAAGCACATCAAATAAGAAATCACACTTTAAACATTATCATGATATAAGCAACAGAGAACAAAGCAAATAGTACATAATCAACTAGCAATAATTAATATGTAGATTCACTGAACGCTCACAGTAAAGAGAATGTAGAAGTACAATAACTCACTTATCTAAACTTAGACAATGATAATCCGTAAAGTAACATCAAACGTCTGAGCGTCCTCAATACTCCTCCCGTTATACCCACGCACAACTATTGAATTAGCACTAGTTTTATAATCAGTCGTTACATCAACATATAAATGCACAGCCATGATAAACGAGGTTTAAGATAATTGGGAAGAAATTAACTTATCTCACTCCTGTCCCAGCAAATCCCGATAGACATGTCACTAATTTATCCTCTATTGTATTGTCCGTTCATGAGAAGGAGGCACTTTCTGTGGGTTTTAATTTTTCTGTCTCTACAACAAATCTCTGAATTGACAGGCAATGTCAAATCCGGAAACCTCTATGATCAATTAAGTACTTTAGCCCCTTCATATTTAGAGAGCCAAAGTTGGTTTAAAGATAAACTAGTGGATATAACGCACCAGTTCCATTCTCTTGTACCAAAACAGAGAAGCATATTAACGACTCAGCACTTCAGTTCATTTGAAGAATTGCGAAATAATGCTGATATTATTTTAGTTAAGCATTGTAAAGGATCAGGTGTCGTTATTACGAATAAGTTTGATTACAAAAATAAAATGGAGTCCATTGTCAGTGATAAAAGCAAATTTATGACTGATGTTGACTCTGATGAATTATGTAAATTGGAAAGGAAAATAAACTCGAATCTAGCGAAATTATCAAACATGAGCGCTATTAACGAAGATGAGTCTACTTTGTTAAAACATGTAGGTTCGGTGTACCCTAATTTATATGGACTACCAAAGATTCATAAGCACACACCCACTTACGTCCAATCTTATCAATGTGTCGGTCACATATAGACAATCTTGTAAAATGTCCGACAAAAGCATTAAACCTAAAGATGCCACAAGCATTTTGAGTTTGACAACGTCTCAACCAGTAACACCTTTTGTGATGGAAACGTGCCAACCCAATGAAATCAGAAGCGAAGAGGCGGATATACCTGTATCACAGTGTTGATGTTCATATTGAGACTACAATCTAGTGCCTTGAGCTTCAAACCCCAATTCGTTATCCCAGTCCAAATAATCACTAGCTCGTTCAATGGGTATGATTTTTAAAAAAACGTGAGAGAAATCGTTACGTCAACGCAATACGTACAGGATGCACACACACAAAGACCGGACGATCAAAGCACAATCCTAAATATCAACAAAGGAGCAATCCACATCCCTTACCAATTCATAAAATCACCTGTTATCGGGTCCTCAAATTTGTGATAATGATGAACGGATTTTCAGATTCTTTGGTATAATACTGATCGACTAATGTAACGTAATAATATTGCATGGTCGAGTGATAATTGTTCACAGGACCGAATTACTAATGTAAGTTCCCAAAGGAACTAACATTAAAAGACAACTTGGCAGAAGAACAGTTTTTGTTCTCTAGCCAAATAACACACCTACACACAAAATGTAAGACATGAGAATAAACATGATTGCCTGTCACTTAACAAATAAGTTGTGAGTTGTGTACGTCAATCACAGGCAAAGGGAGTCAAGACTTGACTCAGTAACGTCATGTTATCAACTTATAAGTTCGTATACAAATTAATCGGTGAAATAAATCAACCGTGTCACACTTAACTTCCTTTCCAAGTCTAGATAGACGAACAGGCTTTGAGCTTATAATGGAGTGACTAAAATAAATGTATATTACTCACGCTAAAATATCTAAATGATATGTCCAGTGGGAGCAAGCTGTCATTTCACATTACATGTTGGTTCTTTACGATCTCCAATTCTATATTCATGGTTATGTACGTTTTCGTTGATATTTTCTCCTCGATTAGACAGACTTTGAGTGTCTTTGTTCGCTTTTACATAGTTCACTCCAGTCCATAACACAGTAAGCTACTACCACCACGTCACAAGGAATGAACTTCTTGGCATAACCCTCTCCCCACAGTAAACCAACAACGATAGACAGGATACGTGTGAAACAGTACTTACATAAGTATGTGGTAAATGAGCATCATTATTAAAAAATTTAAATGTCGCACAAATATATATAAACTATTTCTTAAAATAAAGGATAAATAGAGACAACATATTTCAATTGACTAAGGGAACGTTAGAAAATTAGTTTCGAATAACAATGTGGATTAATGCCAGATTCCCATCAAAATGAAGGGAAAAAGTGACGATCAAAAAATACACTAACGACATAATTTACAAATAAATAGGAGAGGGAGGACAACGACGATACAGAATAGCGCTGTGGAGAGAAAAAAATTCATTTGTTTCCTGAGGATTTTAATTGTAGCGGTAGTTGCAGTTATGATGATGAGAAGAAAAATTAGGAGACACTGAGAAAGCCAGAATATTGTTCTGCCATTTCACATTTCAATCCATCTTCTTAGATTTCTTGTGTCTACCTGTGAAGCCAATAATGCAGCAATATAAATACATACATAGATATACTTATAACTCAGATATATAGAAATAAACCATGGGGAGAGAGACAAGTAAATAGCTTATGTAATATACAACTGAGAAAGATAGTCAGGATATTATATTAGGTGGGTTCACAAGTTTAGAAAGAAAAAAATGTATAACATGACGAAAAAGTGTAAATTGGTTTAGAATATGTACACACTGATGCAAAATCAACGAGGCTACTTAAAAATGGCTTCATTATTGACGGATAGCGATTATCAAACAAACAGGGAGAAACATAGGGGAAAACAAGATGTATGAATGGGAAAATTACAATACCATGTAATACTGACCTGACAGGACCATTTCAATCGATATTGAGGTAGGTCTATTTCTATGACCAGTTTCCATTGTCATGTGCATCACAAATAATAAATTGATCATGTTCATTTTATTTGTTTAATAAAATTATAAGTTGACACAACTGAGCACCAAAATAGGATGAGCCACGAAAAGGATAACATTGAAACTCTTCAATGCCGCGGTACGGCTGTTGGTGTGAGGTTGACACTTCCCATAGAAATAGTCAAATACGGCCACAACGTTTTAGTTCATGCAATAGAAACCCTACCCACTTGCTTTCACACGGTGCTACCGTTGTTTACAAAATTGAGTGAAAGAGAAGCAAACAGGGCTGATGGACACGGGGGGGGGGTCACTTAAGCAGGTTAGAAAACGTTAACTCTAGACCAACATCAAAAATTGACCTGCATGATATTGAGGGGACGAATGGCCTATAATCCTATTCGGTTAACAGATAGTATGACACTGCTCCATTACCTTGTGGACTAGACCTTCAAGTCAATGGCTCAGGGACCAGCCCCCTAAAACTGCCTGCTTTGAATTAGCACCCGCACACAGTGTTCTGGTCCACTCACACATATGACTATTGATAATCACACAAATACACTAATTTACAGTGAAAGAAGTCTACCCTTTTTAATCAGGATGATGAACTATAGGAAAGATTAATTGAATCATAAGGATTCATGAATCATTACAGGTTTTTAGTCAAGAGGTGGTTTTTTCTATTTGTAATTACCTTTTATTTTAAGGGACACTATACGAAAACTAAAGTAACCTTGACATGATGATGCTAGGATCAGATTTTCCATTGTACTACGTAGTTGTCATCAGATAACTAAAAATCCGGAGGTAGACAATCGTTGTATTGAAACATTTGTCAAAAATATCGATTGAAAAACTGACATTTCAATAGTTGGCTGATAACGTGACGTTAACCAACAAGTCTCTACGACAGAAATCGATCATTTAGCCGGCAAGATAAAAAAGGACAGAATCATATAGATGAATTAGATCAATTATAAATAAACAAGCAGGAATTAAGGTACACCAACACTTACTCTGAACAGGAGTAGACTCTTTTCGCTCTGTTCGTTGTTGTGTTTTTGAAGTGAACCTTTTATGTTGAGTCTTATTTAGAGAGCGAACCATCAGTACACCGACTCCGAAGCAAAGGATAGTAGCGATGATCACCACTGAATAAAATCCAAATCGTCCAATATCCGAGAAAACCGCAAGTATGGGATAAGGGTAAAAACGATGAATGCGTATAAGGTATTCCACACTGAAAGCGAAATCGATAATCAACACAAACTTAAGGTTCTGCAAGTAACTTTAAGTTGTTTTACAGGTAGCAAATAATCCCTCTTGAATGTGACGGTAAACACGTCGATATCTGTATATTACATTATGGACTACATATAGTTGTGGGGGTTACCAAAACCATAGTCGCTTGTATCTGGTTACATTCGGTAGGGTATGGTTCAAGAGGTTAGTATAAACCCTGAGCCGTAATCCTATCAGAACACCTCTGTTATCGAAGGTACTGTGAACCGATGCACATGCACTAGGTTCCATGTATGACCTTTATTTGTGGAGAGAATAAACCTGATGGATAAAAAGTGTGGATGGTGGTTTCGTGTTGTAGAGTTAAGCACATATTTCCGGGTCATTTGGTGATTTGCATGAAAGCTTCAAAGATAATCCGTCTACTTCTGTAATTAGGTACTTTTTCTGATGCTTAATGAAATCATGTCTTGCTGACGCTAACGTACAGCCCGCATTTAGAATATAAACGGAGCAGTCTGAGAAGATAAAACTACTTGCAATGTTTCCAAAAGATCACATCGGATACTAAAATATTTACTGCAGAACACAATATATAGATCTTGAAAATGCCTGGTAAACGCCAAAAAACAAAGCTGTGATGGAACTTACTAGGTTACATATCCACCGAAGTATGCTAGAAGAAGCAGGACTGAGTTCGATATAGGAACGATTGTTGGTCTCCATAGTAAAGCGTCAATTATGATGGCAGGAGTTCCAACAGTGTGCTGAAATAAAACTTACGACTAGACTTACACAAGCATGATTATACCACCATGGGACAAATTTCATTTCAGATTCCTTCATCAACAAATCCTTATCTGCGATGAAAATGCCCCAGAACATAATACACACAATCTACATATTAGAATCGAAATCCACTTACTAAATTGGCCGTAAATGCGAGAGCGTATAATGAGCTGTGCATTTTAAAGTTTTTGAAATACTGTAAAGGAGTCGCCAAAGCATAGTAAACAATTTGAAGTGACTGAAACACCAATAAGTCTGTATCAAAATATCTTACTATTGTCAGGATGGTAAGAAAACGCAATAAAAATGCCAGGTCCTTGAAATGAAACGGGCCATTGCCATGAAACAGTTGATAAGTATAAAATACTATGTAAATGAAAAAACACAATGCAACTGAGCGATATAACACGCTATATGCACTAGCCATCGAAATTTGCAGTTTAACTTCAGGACAAATAAGTTTTCGCGGAATAGTTTATAAAAACAAACTTTGTACCAATTTCAATATTGTCATCGTGCAAATTTGTCAATTTCACCGTGTTCATCTTTGTTTTTCCAGTATTTCACAGGCTTTTTGGGTTTCAGAAACACAAATAGTTCAAGAGATCTCGATTATTACGCGGGTACTTCATCAATCTGCAAACCCAGTATAGTCTAAAATTTTATAACAGAAGTTAGTGATAACACGTTCTCTGATTGAGAATTTCACTCATTCGTGGCTGTATACGAGTGAATACCCCGTTGGTTGAAATTTTGACTCAGACTTTTGAAGCCATCTTTCCATCAAACCTGTTTTTAATAAAGTAGATAAATTGCAAAATAAATTCCAACATCATTATTAATTATACGGTCAACCACATGTGGAAATTCACTTTTCTGGAAACACCGATAAAATATTCAGCAGATTATATCCTATAGACTAGGTAGTCACATCATGTCGATTTTACATTATTGGATTAGGTACATGATTTTATCAGTATCGATAACATCACCTAATTCTGACCCAGACATAAATCTTGCAAAACTTTTACTTCATTTGCCGAAATTCGTTCTCATTTATCAGATTGGTTGCTATCTATATTTCAATTACGTATACCTTAACGGACTCATTAATCTTTTCGTACGCACTTGTTGTTTTATTGGTCTCTCAGTTACATATGTAGATGTTTCCGAATAGTTGAAAATGGGTTCACTTCAATTCGGAAATCAGTTTTGACGCGTTACCTGGTATAGACAAAATGAATCAATCGTAAAACAATAAATAGAAGGATTGTGGGCATATGGTTGCTTAGAAAATTCGTCTAATTCTCCTAGACCTCTTTTGGAGTAGATACACGGTGGTTATAAGTTCAAATTTCTGCATTAATGGTTTGGTTTATACCAGGTGGTCACTTGCGAGAACTTTGGGTAGGAAGTCAATCCACTGAATTTATTTAGTGTAAGCTACAGCCTTAATATTATGTCTAATGTAATACAAGGTTAATCATTTTGAATTCAGAACTCTAGGGCTCGAAGTTATATGAAACGGTTGTTCGTTCACACTGTCTGTCTTTAAATAAAGTTTATACTGAAGTACCGGTGAAAAAAACTAGTTATTCTGCTTAACGGGGATGTTGTAGGGACGGTGAAATCTCACTGGACTGCAACCAAATGATCCATCAGTCAAGTCACTGAATGTCGAATATTTCATCGGTTCTCGTCAAGCACATTCAACGCGCATCATTTATTCGCACGCCGTGGACTAGTCAATGGGATGGTCGTCAAACTCTCTTTTTACCCACGCTTACTAATATATTTCTATAATAACGTATTTTGCGTCATTCAGTCTTCGAAGCAGCCATAGTACCTGAATACGAAGAAAGGGTGATTCACGTTTGGTGATGGCCACGAAGTGTGATCTTGAAAATAGCTGATTGACCAAATTGTTCCTGTCTAACTCCAGTGGGCTCACAAGCGTGCGACAGATCATCTGCGTTGGTGATCTACACTAGTGTGTGTTCTGAAGACTAAACTGTCTTCCATTCTGGTCATCAAGTATCTTGTATAGACTGTACTTCGGATGTACTGAAATTATATCTTCATCTGACAACTAAGACGCTAGGTTCTGCTAAAGACTGTTTACAAGCAATCTTGTGAGTAACGTCCATTACACGAAAACTGATATGTAACGCAAAATTCCAAATACATTAACTACTGAATGGCTGTCACACGTGCTGTATTTGATCTGTAAGAGATTAAGTCATTTCGAAGTGTGGATAACAATTTAAAGAGACACAAACTACACCCTTCCCACTGCAAAGTTCAAGGCATCTGTGGAGTGAGTCAAAGCCGCACTGTCGTTTCGTTGATTTTGGGATAGAGGAGCTGGATCATCTGTTAAGTGCAAGTTGTATGGCTGCACTCAAGCTATCAATTTCATTCCGTGCTTCCCTCAAATGTGGAGTTCATCCAAATCCGATCGGCCGCCAGGAAAAAGAAGAAGCATAGTAAGCAGCTTTGTCTAACACTGATCCTCGCTTAATATCTATCTGTCAGCTAGCCTCCATACATGACTTACAGTGCAGTCCGTCATGTGAATTCCGTGCGATGTTAACGATCTTCCCATACACATCATGGTGTTAAAAAAAAGGTTCCACAAGGTTCTCCTACTCACGCTGTTCAACGCTTTCTCATGGTCAAGAAATTTGAGGCATTGCGACGAGCTCCGTTCAACTGATTGCTAAACGATGATCCGTAGTGTTGCGGTTCGTTCTGTACATGACCGATCCCCACACAATCCAGCCCGTTGATCTCAAAGTTGTGCATCTACTCAGTCCTTCATCCGGTCCAGCGACACTGCTGAAAACTTCCCATGTATATGACAGTGGTGTGATGCCTCTGTAGTCCTTACATTAACTGAGGTGTTTCTTTGGTATCTTGATGAGATATTTTTCCTTCCAGTCTGACGACACTTGTTCTTCTTCACAACTCTCTGAGAAGAACGTGGGGCATTTTTGCAAATGCCCCTGACATATTGTCAGGTCGTGTTGCCTTCACACTGTTGATTTTTCCGACGGCCGTTCTGATTTCTTCGATCGTTAGAGGAGTGACATCTGTAGGAATTTCTGTGTGTGCTGTTTCGACACAAGTGTTTCACGAAATATTCTACCTATCTGCTACTCTGTTCTTAAATTTCAGTGACTGGCTCTCCATCTTTGTCCTTGATCGATATCGCTGGTTAACCATATTTCTCTGCCAGTTTCTTCGTCGTGCCGTATAGTTGTTTTCGCTGTCGTTGCCAGGTTTTCCACGATTTGCTGCTTGGTAATTCTAATGCTCTCCTTTGCTTGCTTGTTCACCTCTGTGCACTCAGCCTGTGTATTGACTTTTTATGTTCTTGTTCTTCTGTTGTTAATTACTGTTTTCTCGTTCTTCCGTTTCTTGAATCTTGTCCAGGGTTTCAATTGAAATCCACTTCTTGCGGCCCTGACTAGCTGAAGTGAGTATTTCTTTGGTTCCTTTCCAGTTGTCCGCCATCGTAGTTTCCACCTCATTGGGTAGATTTTGTAAGGCTTTGAACCTGTCGTTCAGAGTTAACTTTATTTCAGTGAGTTTGTCACAAGTAGATGGTGATCTGAAGCAATGTCATCATCTTCCATTGTCTTTCTGTATTTTTATTGATACAAATATGATTTGTCTGGTTCTGCAATAGGACCTATGTAACTAAGTGTATTGTGTAGGAATATTGTTCCGCCGAAAACCAGTTTTTTGAATACACATAGCTTTGTAAATAACTTCCCATTTCCGTTTCCCTCTTTTAGTCCATTTCTTCCCATGATATCCTCTTGACCGTTGCTGTCCATTCCGACTCTATGGTTTAGATTTCCCTTCAGGATGGTCGGGTGGATTCCTGAGCATTTCGCAAATATCGATTGCAGCCGCTTGTAAAACTGATCTTTAACGTCGTTGTTGTTATCATTGATGGATGCATAACGTTGAATAACATTCATTGTGATTCCCTCCTCCCTTGTTTTGAGTTACGCACTGATTAACCGGGTCCATGAGATTCTTATCTTTCAAGTTCATTTCGTGCTCCTTCGGACAGCATTAAAGCAATTCCCTGGGTATGCGGAGCATTTTCTACTTTGTAAGCAGAGTACAGCAGCATCTCTACAGTATCTAGCCTCAGCTTTATAGCTTGTGTTTTAATGTGGTTTACTGGTCCCGAGAAATACCGAGCTGTGTTGTGGTGTGTGCTACTTATATTGATACAAGTAGTATATAACGTGAGTTAAAAGAACATAATGTCTGGCAGCAGAAGATGGGGAAGATTAAGAAAGGAAGAGCGAGAACACAATCGAATTTGTAAGAAATCGCATGAACAATGAAATGTGAGACAATGGATTGATGTTTGCAACAGCAACAGTTCGGTTTGATATGATGGAATGATATTTTGCAAATTAACGATTTACTATATGGTTTTCTATTTTACAAAGTAACTCTGTAATTTGGACTTCGAATTAATAAGGATAAGTCGCAAATAGCGAGAAGTAGCGTCACGTTGTTGGGACATAAAGTGGGAAATGGAGAAATAAAACCATTGCCGGAGAAAATTCTTACCATAAAAAATATTGCGGCACCTAATTCGAAAAAAAATTTGAGACAGTTCCTGGGAAGAGCGGCGTTCTACAGTCGGTTTGTCAAGAATTTCAACGAAATAGCAACACCCTTATATAAGTTGTTGAGCAACACCAAGTTTACGTGGACTGAGACTGCCGAACAAACGTTCAACCGAATCAAAAACATGCTAGACGATCGCCAGATGACGCTCAGACTGCCTGAACCCGGAAAACTGTTTACAGTGGCCACAGACGCAAGTGATCATGATGTAGGTGCTGTGTTGAGTCAGGCTGATAGAGTGGTGGAATACGCGAGTCGCGTCCTCACACCCGCTGAACAGAAGAATTCAACCATCGAAAAGGAGTGTTTAGCAGTAGAAAAATGGAGACGGTACCTTTTAGGTAGACAATTTCACATTGAGATCGATCATAAACCCCTGCAGTGGTTGAAAACAGCAAGAGACCCCCGAGGGAAGTTGGCGCGATGGATGATACGTCTGCAAGAATACGACTTCAGTATCGGCCATGTTCCAGGAAAAGAAAACGTAATGGCAGACTACTTGTCGAGACCAGACATGGAAGCCGACCTTCCATTAACAACATACGAGGGAGACCCATTAGAACTCGTCCGGCAGCAGAAAGCTGACCCTAACCTTCGAGAGGTAATCAGAGTGATAAAAGAGGGAGCAGACGTAGACGAACGAACAATGGACAAGGAAGTAATAACGCTACTTCAGCAAAAAGAACGACTGAGAGTGAACTCATATGGAGTCCTGACCTGGAAGGACGATGACAAGAATTCGGTGGCTGTGATCCCGAAAGGCTGGCGGCGTAAAGTGACACACGAGTGTCACCAGGTAGCACATAAAGGCATAGCAAGAACGACGAATTTACTACGACAAAGTGCATACTGGCCGGGCATGAGAGACGATGTGGCTGAATACGTGTTAACTTGCCAGCAGTGCCAACTAATGAAAAGCGATCGATACACACAACCGCCGTTACAGTCAATCCCAGTAACCGCAGTCGGTGATCTATGGTCGGTGGATGTGATGGGAGCGTTTCCACAGACGTCGAGCGGTAACCAGTACCTGCTAGTAATGACAGAACATGCTACACGTTGGGTAGATGCCGTACCCATTGCAGACCAGCGGGCAAGAACAGTGACCGAAGTGGTAATCCGACGTATTGTAGCGTGTCACGGAATACCGAAGATGATATTAACTGACCAAGGTCCCTGTTTTGAAAGTGGCGAGTTTAAAGCAGTTTGGCATCAAGAGAATACGAACTGCACCGTATTATCCTCAAACAAACGGGTTTACAGAGAGAAACAACCGGACTTTAAAGGAATGGTTAGCATCTAAAGGAGGAAATTGGGAGAAAGAGTTACCATTGATTTTGCTGGCGCATCGCTCCTCCATACAAGGAACAACCAAGAAGTCACCTTTCTTGCTCATGTATGGCAGACAACCACGACTTTCAATGCACAATAAGACCTGGCCACAAAAACAGAAGTGGACGACAACAAGGATAAGAAAAGAGAGGAGGGAGGCAATAAGGAACGTGGAGAAGAAACAAATATCAGACATAAAGAAGGCGGAAAAACAGAGGAGAACGTGGAAACCCTTTCGCAGTGGGGGACCTAGTAAAGTGTAGAGAACGAAAAAGTAACACAGCAGGGGGAGCACGGTTGGGAAAGATGATCCCAAAGTGGGAAGGACCGTATTTTATCATGGAGAGATGCGGCTCGGTCTACACAATCCAGAGAGAAGACAAGCAGAAGCGCGTAAATGCTAGTCAACTGCAGAGATGGTTTCAAGACCATCATGGGTGTGAGTCACGAAAAGCACCAAAGAAGACAGCGGTACGGAGATCAGAGAGACTACGATGACAACTTATAAAAATAATGGAAGACTGTGGTGTGTGCTACTTATATTGATACAAGTAGTATATAACGTGAGTTAAAAGAACATAATGTCTGGCAGCAGAAGATGGGGAAGATTAAGAAAGGAAGAGCGAGAACACAATCGAATTTGTAAGAAATCGCATGAACAATGAAATGTGAGACAATGGATTGATGTTTGCAACAGCAACAGTTCGGTTTGATATGATGGAATGATATTTTGCAAATTAACGATTTACTATATGGTTTTCTATTTTACAAAGTAACTCTGTAATTTTGTGCTAAGTACAATTTGGTTGTCCTCACCTATGTTCTCCTTCACTACAGTGTCACCTCATTTCCGTGGCCGCTTCAAGATATAAATGTCACAATAATGAAAAAAATATTGTGACACTTTTTGTTCTGTGTAGTACAGTTTAATAAGTTGAGACCAAAATAACTCAACAGTAACGTCATGGACGGTGACGCTGCATGACGCAGCAAGCATCAGTACCAGAAGGAACCTAGGTACATATTACTGACTAGTTCCAACTACTAAATACTTGAGTATGATTTCAACATTCAACATCAGGGCTAATGATTATACTCGGTCGCTCAAATTAAAGTTCGAACAAGGATGGGGCGTAGGGCCCTGTTTGTTGATGACTAACTTACACATCCTTATTTCGATTACGTTTTGTTGATTCGCTTGCAGACATGTATTTTCAAGTCACAAAACAATTAAAATACTTAAACAATTGATCGGAAGTCACAGTGTTTCAAACAACTTATGTCTAATCACCCTTTTTTAAGTGTTCGGGAAAATTTACAAATTAACCCATTATTATCTTCCTTAGTTACATTGATAATATGAAAAGTTTATCACCAATTTACCTGTGTAAGACTACAAGTCACCAGAAACATATGGTCACTAAGATCCATATAAATACTTCGTATAGTATAAGGGAACAAACTTTGTAAGTAGAGCTCATTTCATTTTCCTTCTGTCTGCCGTTCAAGCGCCATAAATCTGTCGAGTACAGACGTTGGTATATCAAGAGGGAGAAGAAATGAACTAAAAGAATAAAAGAACTATGGAAACCTAAGGATTTAAAGGAAGACAAAGAATGAGTAAATCTGTACCATGTGACTAGATGCGATCAGTCAGTGGTTAACATTATACTGCATACCCTAATCAGTTAGTTTGCATCTACCGACATGACTCATGCAAACTGTTTGATACATTTTGACCTGGCTGTCCGTTGCTTTCTAACCTGTTACTGTACCAGAGAACGTCGTCAATCGACATAAATGACGGTTGGAACTAGTTCAAAAATTTACACTACAAATACGCAACAGGAACAATAGTAGAAACAAAGAACACACTGATATCATGGGTACATTATATAGTTTATTTTAACATACATAAATAGTCAAAAGAAGATGTATGAATGCAGCAAGTTGATAGATAAAAATAACACTAAAACATGTGTGAAGGAGAATTGAAAAATGTAAATACTTCAAGATTTAGGCAAATAAACTGATAAACATTTATTATCACGTTTACTGTATAGTTGTCTAGTATGACCACGAATATTTTGTTCGTCACCATCATCATCTTCACCATCACCATCAGGTTCTTGTTTATTATCAACATTGTTCTTGTTTGAAGAAAGGTCATCATCACATTTCTTTGATTGTTCAACAATAACCATACTTGCTTGAGTACATTCCTCCTGTGACAATACTTCAATATCCGGATCTTCTTCATTGTCTATTACGACACCATTTTCTGTTTCTTGTTTTTCTTCTGCTTCTACCTCATCATCATCTTCAGTATCAGTACTTGATGTATCGCTACTATCATCATCGTCATCTGATGCAGCTTCTTCTTGTTCCTTAAGGATTTGTACTATTCTTTCAGGAAGTGGACGAACAGTGAACTAAAAAATATTATATCCACAATAACCAACTATAAATGTCAACACTGGGGAATTATTTACTACTCTGAGTAATCACTAACGTCATGTTTGTTTAGTCCTTTAAAGTTGACCGAATCGTATATATCAAGTTCGAATATGTTTACTAGTCAAGTGACTTGACACTGTATACGCCATGTTGTGATGTTACCTGGTTGGATGCAGTTCGCAGGAAACTCTAGTTGACATACGTTTTGTGCTACTCGGTACTCTTCAGCCAGAAGTACCTGTAATTTTAAAAGAACTACCTGGGCACTAATTAAAGTAGAGTGCTTATCAAGCACTGAATTGCCTTCCTTCTTTAGGTGAAACTTCAATGAACATTACCAGTTATCGAGACTACCGATAGGTGATTATTGATATGATTGAAACTTTTCACCTGTTTTCGACAACTATTAAGATTAAATTGACACTACAAGGTAATTGAATATTCGATAATATTGTAAGTTAGAGAGAGAAGTGTAAAACCTAATGAGATAACATTACCCGCAACGTTTTCAATGTTATACACAACAATTTAGATTAATAATCTGTAAATTTAGTGAATGAGTACTGCAAATACTAGTGCAATTTTCATAAGACATTACATCTCAAGACTTACTATTCACTATATTTGTGTTTTTCACTTTAGATATAGGGCTTCGGTGCACTGAAATGTTCATAGTAAACAGTTACGGATAACTGTAAACATTTCCCATGAAGTGTTTAATAAAATATATTGTGGACAACTTCATTCACAGATTTTTATTTTAAGAAAAGCTCTTCAATATCTGTCATATTAGTTCAGTATGATAATCGTTTGGTTTTCTGAACATAATTACCAAATCAACTCAGAATAGGTTGACTGCTCAGCTTGTGCATATGTGTGATGAAGTTGTGTAATAACAACATGAAATATAAGTTGGAGATTATGTTATTCAATAAAAAAGCAACAACTATATATGAACTTTTAAATGTTTGTCTGTTTGTTCTAACAAACATATTAAATTAGAGGCATTCACGATCAATAAGGTTGTTGTCAGTGGTAAACTTTATAATAGATGCATGAGACATATAGAACAAATGATTACAAATATTTATCTGGCATTTATTTAAATAAATAAGTGAATGAAAAACAGATTTTTAACATGGTAACTATTCTGATTATTGAATTTTATTGGTATACAAATAAGATCAACAGTTCTGAAATGACAGTGAATATTTGCAATTTAGCTGAATATTTTTATTGTTATTGAGTTATATGTATTAGAAAATGGTATAATTACGGAACTTTTGTTTTCATTTTAAATAACAACATTAATGTCTACTTTATGAATAAAAGATGTGAATGTAAACTCTACAATTTAAGCCATCTAGTACAGAGAACTCAAACAATATAAAGCCCCCTAAAACCTTGGTGCGACCGAGGGAGGGTAGAGTCCGCTCTGCCTCTTAAAATGCTCTCACATAGCCACGCATATACAGCCACTACCAGGGAAATCCTACTCACTGCCTTCTCGCACCACGGGTGTTGTTTACGAAATTGAGAGAACGAAAGGCGAATGTTTTGCGCTTTAACCGGGTTGGTGGATATGGAGAGTTCATCTAGGGGAGTTGGGAAACCCTGATTCCGAACCATTGGTGCATATGGGCTCCAGGATCCTGAGGGAGTAAATGGCGTATGTTGGTCACTGGCTACCATGAAACTGCACCTTCTTACGTTGATCCACCGCCTTGTTGATTAGTCAAGTGCTCAAGGAGTGACTCCCTAAGAAAACCATCTGCTTCAGTTTACATCGAATAACAAAGTGTGGCGCATATATATTTGGTGCCTCTTTGTACCAGTGTTAATGTGCTTAAATAAATAAAATAATATAGAAAACTAGTTCTGTTCCTTCTTGTAGTTGATCAGTTAACCTACTGGTTGCTTTTTAAGTGATTGTTACCATCACAAGAACTCTTTCTAAACTTTCCCTTGTTGTAAAATTCTACTAAGTTTATTGGATAATACAGATTTTAGTTTTAAGTTTAACACGTGATAGATAGATATTTATGAACAACTTGATGGCAAGAACAATTGATTCAGAAATTTGCGCAATAATTTTAGATGATTTGCATAGTAGCTTCTATGCATAGAATGCGATTTTCTTTGATACAATTCGTTCGATACTAAAGGATTACACAAGCATATAACAAAGTCACTAGTCAGTGATCAATCAACTGTAAATATTTTAGACTTGTCTTATATGAAGTCAACAGCGATTCATATACATCAGTGCTAACATCTCAGAATGTGAAATTAGATAATTTGGGCACATATCTAATAAGGAGAAACATCGGTTCCCTCAAGATTGGAGGTAGGATTTGTTGACGGGTGCGGACCAGCACGAAACCTAGGGCAAGGAAGGTTTCATGAGGACTACCTCCAACCAGCTAATATCACAACATATTACACGCGATATCAAGTCACGTAGACTAGTGGACAAATCAGAACATGATAGAATCCGATCAGAAATAAAAGAAAACAAAAACATGACATTGATAATTACTCAGTTATTAAGTAACTATAAATGATTTTTTACGCTTGTATACTATTTTCGTTACGAACAAGTGAAGTAGTCGACTGATTATAAATCAAAGAGTTTTAGATTTTGATCGTGTATTCACCTTATGTGTTGAATAGTTTGAACAGACTTTTTAAGATTTATTTAGGTTAAGTTTACACTTCACTGGCCAAATGATTAACTCGAACTCCAATGGAGAATAAAAGAATACTATGTGGATATTTGAACTATTATATTAGTTTAACTCTAACTGCTACGATCATAAAAAGTGTTGACTAGAACATTAAAGTGTGAATCATACGTTTATACAAATATATTATTAACAGTATAGAACGCTTTATAACTATATGTGTGTAAGTGCTATGTGTTCTCTAAGCTTGAAAGTTTAGCATTGAAGCTTATCACTGTATTCTAAACATCATCAGAGCCTACTTTAAAAAGTAAGCCGTTTTTAAAATTCCATTACAGTTAATTACCAATTGCTTGTGTTGACCTAGAATTTGATGAACTGTTCCCCATGAATGTGTGGCCAGTGTTGCTTTCTCTTCTCTGAACTGATATCAGACATAACAGCCATTTATCAAGCTTAGAGAACACAACATTTCCACAATGATCATATTGAACTACAAATATTTCCCATTATATATAGCATAAACTAGACAAATCACACAATCCAATAAGATATATCAAAAGCAAACGGCACAAAAATAGAGACATACACGAATACATTCAGTGAAATCACAATCCATGTAACTATCTGACCGAACGGATAGTACGTACAAATACTGACCAGGGATAGGAGGTGCCACAAATCTAAGTTGTAGCTGTAAAATGAATTATTATCGGAAAAACAGAAATAAATAAACTGTCTGCAAAAAACTATATATATATTTTTTCTGTGAAGTTACGGTTAGAAATAACTGCAAACTTATCGGAATGGGGGTGCGAAAGTTGTTCAATTTTATTGATTTCACGAACTGATCTAATTTAGACAAACACTGAAAACTAAGATGCAGTGAACGGTTGTCTAGTCCTAGATTTTGACACTTCAGCAGTGAGTATTCACAAGCCCAAACCCGGGAATCAAACCCAGGATCCTTGAAAAGGATGAGGGTTGTGCTATATCGTGAATTGACTGAAGTCACGTTATCACCGTTGAATGCCGACTCAGTGGTCTAAAGGTTAAGCGTTTGCACGCAAGACCGAATATCCTGGGTTCAATTTTCAGTAACGGGGTCATGGGTGCCTACTCTTGAGGATGCCCTAATACTAGGAGGAAACGGCACTCCAGTACTTCTACATTTTTCATAGTGATTTAGCCAAGATCTGTTCATTACTTAAGCCATAAAAATCAGTTTATGTTTAGGTTATATAACGAGTTGTAAATACTTTCATGTACAATTTCATATAGCTTTTCCTAAATTATTAGAGCTCAGAACCCTTCAAAGGTCGACAAAATGATAATATGATATAACGATATCAGAATCATGAAAACGAAACTTATTGATTTAAGCTTAATTTTCCAACCTACTAGTTAGTATTATTTTTGAAATAAAGCTTAAAATAAACCAAAGACACTATTTTGATCCAGATAAATTTGGTAGCATATAATCTATTAATATAGTTGCATAATGGACAACTGACTAGCTCTAATTTTTGCAACTTCTCAGCCGTACTTATCCACACATATTTATATAGGTTTTAATTATTTTTTTAGGTTTCGCGGAGAGTATGGTTATTGTTGTCACATTGATGAATCAAAATTTTATCAGAAGGGGTTTCGTGGAGATTTTAGAAATTTCACTGGTTGAAATCATGAGTCAATTGAAGCTAGACGACCATATAAAACCTGGAAGCAATGGACGGCCGTTTCGTGTTAACACCGTTGGATACCGACTCAGTGGTCTAGTACTCGCGTGCGAAACCAGTAGGTCCTGGATTCGAATCTCGCAGGGTGCAAGGTCGTAGATACGCACTGCTGAGGAGTCCTATACTAGGACGAAACGGCCGTCCAGTTCTTCTATGGTGGTCTAGCTTCGATCGACTCATGATTTCAACCAGTGGAATCAAAATTTAACAATTCACATTTCTAGCAATAATCTAAAATAATATAATTTAGATTATGCATAGTTTACAGGTTGTAATAACTATGTGCGAAAAGATTATTAGTTAACAATGAAAATAAAATTCTAACCGAACTGACCTCTTCTTCAGTTTGTAATGTGGCAATATAAATAGGTTTAGTGATAAGTTGACGAGTTTTTCTATCAGCTAGATATATCCACCAACCTTCAAATTTCTCCTGTAAATAGATGGTAAACGTAGGTGAACTATTAGGTACACACATAGGTCATGAAAAGGTGAGTCACTTTTTAAATTTTTCTTAAAACATCCACTAATCAGATCGTAAATGAAATAATTCAAGCAATTTCATTAGATATTAAAGTTTCGAAACTCAAATTTAAGGATATCAAAGGATTGATGATGCGAACATAATATTGAGATATAAGAAGGATTTGAATCCGAATATCACTCCCAACTTCTCACATTATCTAACATTTTCGCTTATATTTTCAAAGATTCATAGGATATTGAGTTGAGGAAAGGGAAAGATAGTTCCGTTAATTCACTTTACAATAAAATTTCATCCAGACTTTCCAGATTTCCCAAATGATGAATATAAATCCATTTAGAGATGGTATAGGCTTCACTAAAATACTATCACACACACGACACACAACCAAGTTTTTAGTGTTGTTACAAAATTGAAAAGAACTAGTATTCGGAATTAGATTTGATAATAAGTGTTTAAAAACACCCAAGAACTACATATAATTGAGTAACCATGTCAGTGTTGATATTAGTATGGGAGATGAGATCAGTTTATTTATAACGAATCGCACAGTGGGTTACTTCTAAATCCAGGTTATTTTTTGACTACTCACAACGTCAGTTTGACTATTACAATATCTAGTATGAAATGTTAAACTATAATCGGTTATGCTATTCATTTTTTGAACACAGTTCGTATAACCTGAGGATATTCAATGACACTGTGTTCGACTACTGTTATTTGTGAAAAATTGTAGGAAAACAGTGGAGGTACTTTGTAATTAATGTTGACACTTAATAACACCTATTTAGATAAAAACTATCTTCTAAGAAGCCATGGGAATGATACTGGAAAATCATAGTTTCGAGTACGGATTAACTGATTTTAATTAGCCAGAATTACGACTTACCACAGGAAAATAAGGACAATGTACAACATGTGTACAATGTGTTTTTGAATCCATCATACTAGATAATTTATTGTGTGGTTTCATAGGTTTTCTACTTGAAGAAGATTTATTTGTATTTAATGAAGATGGTAAAGATGATTCAACGTAAGTATCCGTTGTGATTTTTCTTTGGACTTGTCCATCATCAATATGATTTGGTTGAACAGATTCATCTTTTTCTTTTATAGAGAATTCTGATGGAACCGATGAATTGGTAAAACCAATATGATCTGGGATCTCTTCAAGTATAAAGCATAGAGAGATAAAGCACATAGCAAACCTTAAAATGAAAGTATGAGACTGTGAAAAGTAGCAGAAGAAACAACAGAAAATTTGAGTAGGCAATAAAAATGAAGGGGAAGGTTTCAGTTGTTAAAAACGTGACGTATCAATACTACTACTACTACCCTATTCAACCATTAAATAACATATCAGTTGACAGTAACCTAATAAACGTAGGCATATATTTGACATCACTTACGTGAAATAACTGTCAAAACAAGCCCTCACTAATTCTTATCGAAGATGATATATATATTCACGAGTAATTTGATCAAGACACCATTTTGTGTACAGGGATGTAATAGTAAACTATTATGTTAGCATGATAAAGTGATCTGATAAGAAACGATTATTCTCTGAAAAATTTATGGTTTAAAGACATACAGTGAATTAATGAACATTACAAACATAGAGATGAACAAGAAGTTAGACATCGAGAATCTTAAAACTTCCTAACTAGCATATAAAAATCTAACAGATTTATTAGATTTTAATATGTGATGCTTTTTAATTATAACTAATATAAATGTTTATTTCTCTGACTATACTGGTTACAGTATTCTGTTATATAAAAAAATCTATCTTGAAATAAGATATTGTTAATGAAGTTTGACAAAATTAATGCAATGCGAATGTCAGGTGCTTTGATTGGTTTAATGCATACGGAAGATCCCTCTAGGGGAGTTGGAAAACTCTGAGTCCAAACCAATGGTGCACATGGACTCCAGGAATCTGAGTGAATAAATGGTGTATGAACCTACTGTTGATCACCAGCTACCATGGGACTGCATCTACTAACGTTTTTCCACTGCCATGTTGATTAGACTTCTAGGTCAAAGGCTCGGGGAGTAGCTCCCTAAGAAAACCACCTGGTTTTGCTTGGGCACCCGGGCAGCATTTTAGCCCTCACACATATCGGATGACGAAGTGTGGCGCATATGCATTTGGCGCCTCCTTGTGCCAATATTAACATGTATGAATAATAATTAATTAATCAATTCACAAGCTACACGGTATATAAGATGTCAGTCAATTGATCTAGGAGTAGATCAAATTACTGACTGAAAATGTTACTAATACAAGGGATACAATGTTAGAGGACTTTCAACAGAACATTGAATATAATATAAATTTCATTTCTACAAAATATTTAAATGAACAACCTAAAACGAGGTAAACAGTATAATAATAGATGTTATCACAGGTCAATTCAACTTGAGTATATTAAAGTGAATGGCATTTGTTTCTACTGAAGCACAATTACAAAAATACTATGCTTTTTTTGTTTGCATTTTTGTAGCCATTTTGAATAATCTTTTGTAAAGTAGAACTATCAAGGTAGTTGCCTCCTTTGTCACTCTACATAAAATCTGTTAAATTTGTTGAGAAAGCAACAAATTATGCTTTTCAATAATCGCAGTGTTTAAAACATAATTTCAGAGTACTAACAAGGTGAAGAGGATTTCAAGGTAACTGTACTAATCCTTGAAGTTAGTAACTATTATTCTGACTGATGTGAAATGTTTTTTTTGAGGGGGAGGGGTGGAAAGTAGTAATCATTCTATGCAAGATGTTTGTAGCTTTGTCATGTTTGAAATCAATGATCTTATGAAGTAACAATTTAAGTAGTACAAAAGTTACTTAAACTTCTGGATGTTCAATGTTTATATATGTTGTCAGTAAAATGTTGATGGATATATATTTTCGATAAGTATTTTTCTCAGACAGTTTAATTCTTTCCCTTGTGATATCAAGAATCCAAACATGTTGGATTCATGTAGCGTGAGAATGTTGACAACAATATGGAATTTGAAATCTGCAGAAATAGAGAATTCATTGTTTTACAAGAACACGAATTTCGAGAATGACAAAGATATAGAAAACTTGAGAAGAACAATTTCTACCTTTCTCAGAAGAACATTGTTTAGTCGATAACTTTTAACTCGTTAGTTGATGTTAAACTAGCAGTAACGAAACGCTGAAGCTGTAAAATCTAGAACAAAGATAGACTAAAAACAATTGAACACACAGGGGCTGAATAAATGACAGACGCTAGCAAGAATAAGTATTGATCCGGACATACATGTTTTACCACAACGTAGCGAGAAAAAGAAAATTAATAAAGTGGGAAAGTAGATAAAAAGAAATAACAGTAACAACTATAGTAAGAAGCTGCTAAACATGAGTGATATTTGTTAGTGAAAGTAAAATATGATTGGTCACTGAGGGTGGACAAACAGACTTAGTCTACTGACTATTGATTATGTGATTTCCTTTCCTCTCATTCATTTCTACTCCAGACTCCCTGAATGTGGCTGCTTGTAATTGTGTTGAATAAAGTATCATGTAGTCTATACTTTGGTTATCTTTTCTGGATCATGAATCCTAGATCTAATATGACGCAACTAGTCTCATTGTCGTGTTAACGTAGTTCACCTGAGAGTGCAAAATATTTTAAACCATTCGTTACACCAATGAGAAAATATACAGAAGAGATGGAATATGGCTAAAAATGAAATACAGAACGCGGATTACATCTTACCTGAAACTCATCGACTGAATATACCTATATCTCAGAGTTGTTCACTCACAGATTCAACACCGATTCTCGTCTTTTTAAACTCCAAAACACTATAATTTACCTAGCAACTGAGTTCAGGCAGCAAATAAAGATTAATTAATTCTAGTTCTAAACATCAGAATGGGGACCTGTGGAGATTGTAGTATTTTAAGAGTTGAGTCGTGGATTCGTGCTGCTGAGTCCCATACTAGGACGAACCGACCGTCCAGTACTTCCAGGTGTCCAATGGTGATCTAGCTTAGATTGACTCGTGAATTCAACTTTGAAAATTCTAAGCATCAATGGAAGTATTAAAATAATAAATACAATTGAATTTAAACAACAACAAGTATCACTTACTATCAATGCCAACAACAGAATCACTATCTTCTTGTTCTGAATCAATTTCATCTGTAGGATTGATTTCCAATTGGTTGACTTTTTCGGATCCCAATGAAGAGTTTTTCTGCTGCTGTTGTTGTTGTTGTTTACGTGATTTATTTTTGCGTACACCTTTTTTTCTTTTACTTTTATCCCAAACAGGTGGAGTGGCTTTCTTTGATGACTTCGTTGAATTGCCAACATTATCAAACTGAAATAGTACAAGGAAATTATAACGAAAGGAACACACATACACACAAAATACAGAATGTTATATATATGAAAGATAACGAACAGATACATGACTCAAACACTTATGAACAGAGTAGGACTAAAGATTAAGTATTAGTGTAGAGTACTAGATAAATACAATGGTTATGCTACATGTTACATGTGTCCAGTTCTCTATTGCCTCAAAGTAGTATAATGACTAGTATAGAAATAGGTTAGAAGACCATATAAAAAAGTATGGTGCCGATTCATTAAGTCACAAATTGTTAGTTTGTTTGTACAGAGAGAATGTACACTTTTAGGTTAAAACTTATGCGACAATGAACAATGGAAAAAAAATCATTCTACCGAAATATTCATATTATGTGAAAATAACCATGACAGTGATCAACTACGTAGTAGGACCGAACTATACAACAGTCAATGTGTTTCATGTAATTCTTCAAGAACCAGAGCAAACATCGATAAATATTTCTTGCAATAACAACAGAAAAATATGCTCAACTACAATTGAATTAATATGATGTATTTGTGAAATTGTAGTTGAAATCACGATCCGATTATATCAAGAACAGTATTGGAAACCTTGAGGCTCTGGATGATCATACTAATAACAGTTATGTGCTTCAAAATGGATTTGCTGGAGTTCTAGTGAGAAGCCGTGACCAGTGGAGTTTAATTCGAGTTGGGACTGAGACAGTTATTCACCGCAAGGCAATGGATGAAGGATTACGCATGATAATGGATTGATTAAAGTTAGACATTAACACCATTGGATGCCGGCTTAGTGGTCTATAGGTTAGGCATCCACGCATGAGAGATGAGCTTCTGTATTTGATGTTTTTTGCCCGCTAGGTCGGGAATGCGCATTGGCGATGAGTCACAAACAATTAAAATAACAGAAAACCATGTAACAGAACAAATGAATGGTTCAACAACAACGATGACAAAACAAAACTTCAACTTACTACCTTATCTTCATCACCACCACCACTGCCAAGAAAATCATCATAATTCAACGATTTTAACGTCTCTGTACCATGTATATCTGCGACAGGATAAAGTTTAGAATTCAATGAATCACTATTATTATAGGCATTCCAGTCAAGTTGCATTGTTTGACCACGATCGAAATAACTTGAATCGGATAATGTAGTAGGAGAATTAGTAGTACCAGAATTAGTAGTAATTGTATTAGTATTAGTAGTATGTCCATTAACGTTTGTAGCATTATTCACTGCATTCGGATCTAATAATGGTTTACGTTTTAATAGAACAGTAACTGTAACCATACTAAATGGCCAAATACTTGAATCATCTTCATCTTCATCTAATACCTAGTAGATTAAGAAATAGAATAAAAAATTTGTAAGTAGAGAGAGAGAAACAAAATAACTGTATATCTTTTAAAATAGTTTGGGATCTATATAACTGGAAACCTTTAGGAGGTGATGAATACATGAGAGTAGAAATTGAAGCTTATGTAGTAATGACAAAGAATGTGACCAAACTTTCTTTTTAAAGTTGAAATATTAAATAAATAAGTTAGCATAATATTTCATCGACTGAGGTGGTTGAAACAAGTATTACATGTGTTTAGCAACTGTCTACCTTGACAAAGGACGTTTGTTTGGAAGGAAGCTAAGAGTAGCTAAACCAAAAGGAGGGCACTCCTTAAAATCGACTGACAATTAGTTTGCGTCGTGTAGGCAGATATAAACTGAATGTTTAAAGTCAGTTCAATCATTATAACGAATGGTTGAAAATGTAGAGTAATATGACGCAGATATGTATTATTCACTTTTTGACTTTCTTTAGGTCTTGAATAATTTATATTTTTTATTCTGTGAATTTAATCTTTCTTCTCGAATGATAATGCATATTCTTAAAGTTTTCAACTGGCATTGATGTTGTTACTACTCCAACCATCCGGGCACCTATCGTAATAATTTTATCTCACTATGCTGATATAATGTAGGGATTCGAATCGATGAATATATGTGCTGTGATTTACATTGCTTATGATTGATCGAGATAACGTCCATAGAAACTTTGGGATAAGGGAGCTTTTTGGCAGTATGTGAATATAGTTTGGATGTTTGTAAATAATGAAGCTATACAAATAGAATAACACAGTTATATCATGTTTGTTTATTATTCAGAGCTGATCAAATTTTATCGACTAGGTTGCGATGTAGTGACTCATACAAGTAAGTTGACATTCGATGGATTTTGTTTCGATATCAGTTAGTAATTGAAATAAACTGGTAGATCTGTATCCAGATTTCGTCTTTATCGAGACTAACCAGTAAAGCAATCGCAATAATGCGATTATGGACAGTTGAATGTGCTGATAAGGTATCCAAAAAAAGAATTAAAAACCAAAGATTTCTTGTAATAGTCCAAGCTGTGCTATGCTACAGAATTTTATTGACAAAAATTAAAGACATTTTGGTGTGTACTTATCCTTCTACAATCATTCATCACCAAATAAATGAGTATTCAACAACAGTAAAAATAAAGAAAGAGAAACAGAGTTCATCTTTTGCACTGAGAAATGAAAAAAAGAACAATAGCTAATTACTACAGAGAATTTGTGAAGACTATAGAATTTAGTAGTTTAAAAATTCGAATTATCGGATGCTGATATGGAAGTTTAGAGGTTAAGCGCTCCGTATGGGTCCTGAAGATCCTAGGTCTTAAACCCTGACAGGTCTTGGGAGTATTTTGTTGAAGAACCCCATACTAAGACGAACAGTTTTCCAGTGATTTTCGGTTTTAAATGGTTGTCTAACTAAGATTAACTTGTGACATAAACTTTAAAAAACGATTATCATGAAAACGAAATACACATCGATAGCATGAAATGAATCACTTACTTCACATCGATAGGATAATTCTAGATAGGGCATAGAAGAACTAACTATAAGAATATCACGATATTGTTCATCAGAAAGACTTCGTAAAAGGGCTCTACGTTTATCATCTGGTAAATTGATCAACTGTCGAACAGATTTAATATTACGCTGTGAAGGGAAATATATATTCAATATGTTGATTAAATAAATATGATTAGAAATAGGAATCTTTTATATCCCGCTAGATGTTAGTTTGCGATGAAAATTATCATTTAAGTTATACGAAATCTCCACTAAGTAATTGTATTCAGTAATTATCGTATGATCATTAGTCTTTAGTTTCTTAAGATGAATTTCCCACCGTCCAACTTAAAAATAGTCAAATATTTAGTCAGGATAGTAGTCACTCATTAGCTATATAAACTGCCTGACAGTCAGACTTTTGGTTAATCAACTTATATTGAAAATACAGACTATTTGATTTTGATTTAATGACAAATGTTGAAGTTAGATGAAGGATAATACACAAAGATAGTGAAACGATTGTTGAGGTAGGGAGTATTCATCAACTGAGGTGGTTGGGACGTTCATGTAAGACAGCCGATAATCTTTATGTGCAATGTTTGCAGGTAGGAAGAGAGTTAATGAGGCAGCTAAACCAAAACGTAACATAAACTCATGAAACAACTGACTGTTCAACTGAATCATGTTAACAGGTTCGGATTACTTAGATAGGGTTCTCGCGATTATCATTGGAAATGTTGGTTGATATGGTTTAGAATCAGTCGTAACAAGGTAAATGGATTCATTCCATGTGTTTTATGGGATCTTGTACCTTTTTTGTTTTGCAAATTTCTTCCACCCTAAACCAAATTGTTTATGATTAATGTTTCCTACTACTATCATAGATACTCTTATTCCTTCTATTACTCTGGCATTAAGTTTTGACATTATCATTTTGTCGTGCCATTATGGTGTAGAACGTTAAACAGATGCATATATCTCCGACAAGTACAGCTTGCTGAAGAGTGCCGAATAGCAAGAAACACGGGTCCATGGTTTCCCGTTGGCTACATACAACCGTCATCTCATCTCAACATAGTGCACACAATGTCGAGTCGCCTGAACTAATGGCCATATTGCAACTTGGTTGGTAGGATTCGATCTGCACTAGGAAGGACCTGACACACATGACACTGATCACCACCCAGTGATCAATCAATTGCAAACATTCTACGTATTTAACATACTATCATTTGTAATGATGAAATTTAGGAAATCTAAACGTATTCGTGATCGTCAGTATAGGGTTGTGAAGATCGTTGAGTCTCATGGAAATCATGAACCGATAAATGCTAGGCCACCATCGAAAACCTGGAAGCACTAGACGGCCTTTGCATTATACTACGAGACTCCTCAGCGGTGTGAATTCACGGTATTGCACTCGGGAATCAGACCCAGGACCTTCGGTTTCGCGTATAAACGTCTAACATATAGACAACCGAACTGTCACTAGGAAGAAACGGTCGTCCAGTGATTTCAGTTTTCCAATGTTAGTCTAACATTGATCGGTCTATGATTTCAATGAAATATTAGTGGTCATTTAATGAGATAGAAAAGGTTTATATCGTTTACAGTAAACTCACTTGTTTAGTCGCCATATGTCTAAGTTGAGTTTGAGTGATATGTGGAAGTTGGAGTAACGGTGAAGCATTGTCCGTAAGTGCTTGAACCAGCATCGGAATTAAATGCATACAATTTTCTATGGTAGCTAAGTGTTGCGGTGTTTTATGTCTTGAATTAGCTAGAACAGTATAATACAAAAACAATAGGTGTATTTTATATATATATATATAACTGATTGATCACTGAGGAGTAACTAATATCATGTTTGTCTAGCGTTTTCTAATACTGACCGACTTCTTTCGAACAAACTGGAACGGACTAGGCTTAGAAATGAATAACATAGATCAATTATAACCTTTATTGTATAACGCGTATCAGATTCACACTTTTTTCTTTGATAACATCGTTGATTAAATAATGTCGAGTGTGTACATACAAGTCACTCTGTTAAACTCAATATCGATAACAAAAAAAAACAACTTAAGCAGTAAAATAAAAGCAAGTGAACAAAACCTTTAACAAGTCCAAAATGTTTTACAAACAAACCTCTGAATTATGAGAAGTTTTAAAACAAGACAGAAATAAATGTTCCGTGTATCGTTTCCAAATATATCTAAATTATTCTTTTACACAGACAACAGTTCATAAGAAAAACACATTTCAAATTGTGGTATGTAATTCAATGCTTCAAGAAACATCTAGGAATTTGTTAGCTGTGAAGAATGTCAACTATATGTCTGGTGGATTTATTTATCAGGTAAAATAATGGTTGAGTTAATGAGACAATTGAAGATAGACCACCATGGGAAACCTGGAAGCATTGGATGGCTGTTTTGTCTTATTGTAGGATACCTCAGCAGTCAGCATCCACGATCCAGTGCTTCCAGGTTTCTATGGTGGTCTAGCTTTAATTGACTCATGAACTCAACTATTAAATTACTATTATATCCACAAAACCCCTTTCTTATATTAGGTAAAAGTACTAATTAATGTTAATTAGATGGATTTACGAATGGTAATGATAAGAATGATAAAGAAAACAAAATTTCTAGTTAACATGAGAAATATGTTAAACTTGGATCTAAAAAATTGTTAAAATAATAAGAACACAAAATATTATAAAAATTACGTAACAGGAAGTGTGTAAATAATTAGATAGTGTAAAGTACAAATGAAAAAAAGGTGAAAAATGACAAATAAATAGTCTGAAAAAAAAATCAGTATAAATCGTTTACTATGTTATATACTGTCAAGGAAGGAACAAGGCTGTCACAAATTTCTTCTGAACATATACACGGGGGTTATAGGCTTGAATTCTTATAGCTTCTGCTATATGTATGATATAGGGTCGAACCCCATTACAAAATGATGAAGGTATGCGATAAATCATTTAAACTGATTTGGCTCTATTTATTATATGACCACTGTTAATCAACTGTGCCAAAATAAAACTGTGTATTATCTTTGCCTGATCTTTTCCAAGCCAAGCTGTGAAATGTTCACTTATTTGTTAGTTAAATTACCTGATAGTATGCCAATTATGGGTATCGCTACAGGAGCAGATGAATTTTTAAATGCACATTGAAGAGGTCAACTCAGGTAACTAATCTTTTGTTTGAGTAAATATCACTGGTCTATTAGAAAGCGTCAACGTAAGATCAGCTAAGTAGAATAACCTATTAACTGCTCCCATCTAATCTATCATGCAGGACATCGCCAGTAACATTCCCAGTTAAATGTTAATCAAGATATTAGCTGTAAGTTGTAAAATTGTTTCTAATGAATCAACAATTTAATTTATATTATTATTAGCAAGGATAAAGAAATAACCAATGGTCAATATTCTCAACCGTATTTTTAAGCCGCGTTCGTCGGCAGATACACTGAGGACAGTTTGCCTCGATATCGTCATATTGTCAGATGTTTACGTAGAATAAATAGCTTGTGGATAATAATGGAATTTAGGATGCGTCTTTCGTCCTATTTTGAACCTGTTCAGATAAATGCACCAACATACCATTTTGACGTTCGTATTGAAGATTCAGCACAGCACTTTACTGTTTGAACCTTAACTATTTGTGCGCAATTGAATAATCATGACTTATTTGATAAGTGATACACAGAAAGAATATCAATAATGTCAGTTTAAACGAGCAATACAACTCAATACTCGATGTGCTAAAAAAAGGCTTAGATATATTTTTACACGTAATTATCATTACTTTTTTTCAGGTCATCATCATCAGCAAGGAGTTGAATTCATAATTTGGAAGGAATATATAAGTGATCTATGTAAAATTCGATTCATCCAACCACTGTCACCCTAAACAGCTATACGGTCATAACTTCTGATATATATGAAGACAATGACTACTAACTACGTAACAAAGTCTATAGGTTATCATCTGGCTGATTCTGAAATCCTGTTTCTCACGGTAAGACCATGTTAAATTCCTTTTCAACAAGGACAGTACGCAAGAAGGCAACAATGCTAATAATAATAATAATATATTTAATGTTTAATGATTTTTATTATTTCGTTATTAATATTTTTGACTGAAATTTGATCAGTTTTGGCTGGCATATGTGCAGCCTGTTAGGATTGCCTCGATACTGCCATTATAATATAAGTTTACATTAAATAGATAGAATATGACTAGTAATGGGATCCAGAACTCGCGTTTCGTCCTATTTGGGACTGATCAGAAAGAGGTATTTGCATCCCAGAATTGATGTTCAATCCAGGATATGAAACTAGTACTTTTCGCTCCAAAAACTAAAGCGTCAACCCCTTAGCTACTGAATCCAAATAGCCACCTATTTGCGCAACGGGTATGGATTTTAATTTTGTCTGTAATGATTTGCATCATCACACGTTTTTTGACAACTGAACATCAATGGTGGGATGTAGGTACAGTCAGATAACTAGCCCCAAATAGGACAAATGCGTTGATACCACTACTAGCCATATTTAAACTATTCTACCTCAATAAAAGTAACAATAATAACAGTAATAATGGTAGGTACTTCACCAAAATTAACCTCAAGGTAACAGATAAGTTTTTCTAAAAAAACGAAATTACATCGCTCAACAAACCTTCGTCCATTGCCACAGCTAGAACGTATAGCAAACTGTTGATCATTTCGTCAATTAACCGAGGCGAATGTTTAATAATATACTGTCTATCTGTGAACATGAAAACAAAGACATAAGGGGAAAAAGATAAACAGATCAGAAAAAACCGCCTAGAACAGAATGTTTGATAAATTATTGTGAATGAGTTAAAAATTAATGAAAAGAAATACGGATTGTATAACTATGATCCCTGGTTAAACACACGCCTTGGGTAATATAGTTCACAATCGATCACAAGAGCGTAGATGTATAATCTCTTTATATTATTGGATGTCTTGTGATTCAGTAAAACTTCATACTTACCTTTTCATTCCATTCTCTTGAAATATATTTTCAACGCATAGCTTTTCTTATTATCAAAGCTACTACATTACTTTAACTCCTTTACTAATTATTTTGATCTTGTGTGTGATAATTTGGTATGATAGCTTAGGTCAATGAATATTTGTGCCACGTCCCAAGTTGATTATGACTGGATGACTGAAACACAGGTTGTAAAATTTTACTCACAAGACTTCTGTTACATGAACGATACTGACAAAATGCAATACCTTAAGGCACTTAAAAAAGAAACCACAAAGTGCCTAAAAGAATTCCACGACTTCCTTATAATAAACACTGTCTAACGATTTATGATAGTACTTTATGATTTAACTTGCCTACATTTTAGTGTGCTTTCACAAGGAATTTTGTAAATAATAGGAGATATGTGAATATTGTTTAAGTATACATCACCGACTGAAATTTGTTAAACAGCTGTTGAAAGCCAGGAAGCACTGGACAACTGTTTCACCCTATTATGGGACGTCTTAGCAGTGCGTATTCACGATCCGTCGGGAATCGGACCCAGGAACTTAAGATCTCTTGGTGGGCACATAACTTTTAGACTACTGTGTGATATGTTTAGTGTGTTTATTTTATAAGGCCATTTAATTCCTTTAGGTTTACTCTTCTGCTTTTGAGAATAGTTACAGCAGATTGGCGAAGTAGTCATTCTCTATTCAACGACAAGAATTCCTTACAATTAATTACCGATTCATACTAATGATTACCAGGTTAGAAAAGCAACAACTTTCAAGCGGACAAAATATACAGGGTTGGATTTTAGCTAGAGAGTAGTTAAACTTAATATACGACAAGAAACAGAGGTGAATAGTTACTGACTATTGATTTTAGCAAACTAGAAATACTCTCGGTTGTCGTTCACAAGATATAAGAACGATAGTTAAGAAATCTCTTTGATAATATTAAACACTTTTTACATTCCCATCGATACATTTAAGCTTAGTTTTCTTCAACATTTTTGCAAAAAGTCGTCAAACTGCCTATGAAATAATCTATTCTGGAGTTCTATACTATTACTGGAGGTTCTGTCCGTCAGAAAAGAGCGTACGCATGTGATCCAAGTAAGTACACAGTTTACATAAATATAAATGTGTGCAAGGTGGTTGAAAACAGTCGGCTGGTAGGGAACTCTGAACCTAAGTTCCTTGCTAGTTGGAGCTTGTAAATGATGTGTACCATTTATGGAGGGTCAGTCGTTAGCCGGATCATTGAGTAATATCACAGACTAAGAGACTGGATGGTAAGGGTTTTCACCAATTACCTTGAGGTTGAAGCTATACCATTCTGACGAACCTGAACCAACACGAAACCTATATTTAAAGTTTCCTGTTGACTACCTGTAATCACCTTACATCTTAACATAATGTATGCGATGTCCAGTCACTTAGACCAGTGACCATATTGCAATTTATTCGATAGGATTCGATCACCACTAAATGATTAAATGAACATAATATGAATCACTATTCAATGACTAATCGATTGGACATTAATTGTGTGCATCAATGTAATACAACTTATCAAATCTATTGGAGATTAATTCATTAGTGTTAGCGGGACATAGATTGCATTAAAGCATGCTCAATGCACGATTGGATTGCTGCACACTGATTGGTTAATTCTTATCCAATCAGCGCTAGTCGATACTTGGAGGACCCTAGAATCTCATGTAAAAACTAGAAATATAGTAACGTTTTTCCTACTGTGCACATCCACGACCCAGTGCTTTCAGGTTTTTAATGGCGGTCTATCTTAGATCGACCAGTGTATTCAACTGTTAAAATACTACAATCTCTACAAATTTCCATACTGACAAAAAAGTGGAATCGATGAAAAAAGAAAGATAAAGAGATGGTACGAACGCTTACCAACATGTAAAGTGTTAGCTGGAAGCTCTAAACGTTCCAAATGTGCATAAATCAATGCTCTAGCTTTTACTGAATATGGTGACCCAACGATGGCTTTTTTAAAAATAGTGAAGAATGGTATCTGCATAATTAACTAGAAATAATGTGGAAATAGAAAAAAAAGAGTAAATTAATAATAACTGATTAGATATACCTGTAATTAGATAACGTTCAAATAATAAATAACAACACCTTAGTTATTCAGTGTTGACTGTACTGTGTAGATCTCTGACTACTAAGCTAAACAAAATAATGTTAAACTCATAACATTATATATTATGCTGTATGTTTGAAGACGACTATCGTATTTTAGACAATACTCCACTATCTTTTTAAATAAGATAGATTGTGAGTACCAGTGAAATTTAATACACGTGTCTCGTCTTATCTGAGAGTTATCAGGTGAATTTACCCGTAGCCAAGTACGTTTCGACAATCAACTATACAGAGACAACCAGAAAACGTTGGGCGTATGACAAATAAAGACTGATCGAAAATCCAGACCTTAATATCAGTGAAATCATTACTAATGATGACACACTACACTATATATAGGTAATGGAAAAAAACATTGAATAGTGTTTCATGAAGTAAAATTTAGTTCACCTTGAAGATTATTTTACCAGGAGTGGACATTAACCGACTTAACGCATCGAATAGTCCTCATTTTTTACAACTTCAATCAACTAGAATTATAGATGATACTATCATTCAATGCTATCATTGATGAGTATAACTGAGTTACTCTTATGACATTAGGTGATTTGACAAACCATGAGACCTGTGAAAATTCTTGGATCCACACATAAATGGTATTTTGGGTCCACATAGGTGAAGGTTCCAAAAATAGGGTAAAACAGATACTCAGTACTTCAGTGACAGACACTAGATGAACACTACCTTTAAAACATTGAATGAATTTAAGTTAACCTGGTTATAGACAATAGTGCCGCATCAAACTAGTCAAATAATGATGACAATAATAAACTGCTTCATTTAATACCATATGTTTGATTAGAGCAATGAGGTCACAGTACAAAATATGCAATACTGTAGTGAATTACCTGTTTTATAAGTATTTAGCCTGTGAATATTTAAAAACATAGATATTAAATATTTTAAACGTCAATTTGCTGCCATCGATATGCATACGTAAACGTTTACAATCAGATATGTTCTCTTTCGGGACACCCGTTTCTATCACCTAATAATATATTTAGCGTAGGAATTACTCCTTGTTCTTCCAAAGAACAGAGTACGATGGTATATGAAATATTGTGGTGGTACTTCTTAGTCATTAACTTCTCAATAACTTGTAAACGATATATAAAGGCAGATAAGTACATGCGCTTATCACACATAATTAGTTAAAGAAAGTGAATCTAAGACAGGAAAATTTATGAAGATAAATAAACATTTGATGTAATGATGACCCAAAAAATTTAGCTAGGTTGTTAATATTTACCCAGATGAACAACTGTTTGGGTGAATTCTTTTGTGCATTACAAACATTTCAAAATAAAGTAGGGACTGATGATGATGATGATGTTCAGAATAACAATGAAGGCATTGTGTTGAAACCATCTATTAAACAGAGAGCACAACACACCATCAAAAAGTAAATATGTTACGGCGATAACTCGTACATCTAGCAGTGTATAATGTTACTACCACTGTAAAACTTTCCTTAAATATAAATTAACTTGATAAAATTCCAATAAAAAAGGGAAACAACTAACCGGAGGTAGCTCAGTATTATCACTTGGTCGACAAATTATTTCTTTATTATAATTTGGATTGAATTCATATGCAGTGGATAATACTTTAATAATACGTGGCATTGCCATATAAGGTGAACGCATGAATGCACCACAAAAATATCTTACTGTATCCAACAGTACATTGTTATTACTAAATTTCATCGTATTATACCACCAAACACCCTGTGAAATATAAGAGAAAAAATAAACAAACAAACCATTGAAGAACTAGTATCATCATTAAAAAGGTTAAATATAATCCACTGAACCGTTAAAAAGGTTTGTTGTTGGAACTGAGCCATGTTGGTTGGTGCAGACTGCCTTTCTTGTTAGGGTTTGCGTAATTATTTTAAACAGTGGTGTTTGGAGGACTTTGAGTGACGAAGGCTTAGATTTAATCATAATAACACAGATATATTCATAATTTTCTTTTTTTATATATTCGGTCTCAAAACTATTTTAGACTTAATAACTCATTCCATTTTCTTGAATCATACGGTCTATGCCTAATTTTTTGCACAGCCACTAATACTGTTTTAACTTCCACCAATCTACCATCTCACTACATTGACATTGTGGTGTGTCAACTTGAAAGGGTGGGCATGTCTTCCAAGTCCGGCATTGTGTATAGCTGACTACTGTTAATTATTTAAAAAACAAAGCTAAAAAAACAATTAAAAAATTTCATTAATGAGTTTGAATATACTGACAACAATTGTAAACTATATACATATATCCAATGAGATTATTATTTTCGAATCAGTGTATAATAACTTCAGTCCCACCTCAAATGTGTGAGAGCTAGTGATACTCTACAAAGTTTATTTATTTATTTATTTGAACACATAAATATTGGTACAAGAGAGCGCCAATATATATGCGCCACACAAAACAATGGGAATTCGAAGAGAAGTAGAAAGAGAGAAAAAAAAACTAAGGAACGCAAAAGAAAAAGAGAACAATGACGAAGAGATTGGAGTAAGGTAGTGTGGTAGTAACGACAGAACGAAAAGGTACAATCAGAAGAAATCTTTCAGTTAGGGAAGACAGAACCACTTTTTATGAAGAAAGTAAAAGAAGGTTACAGCAGGATCGCCACTGGCTTCTATTCTGAGCCATATCTGATAACGTCTCTAGCCACTGTGTAGCACCATCTCTCGGACCCCAGCCAGGGAGTCGTGAAGGACCAACACAAGCCAGTCCTTTGCAGCTTTCTTTCATGCCACGACACCATGTCATGCACTGACCACCTCTCCGCTTCTTCCAACCAGTCCCAGAGTCGGCAAATAATGCACGACGTGGAATTCTCTGGGACGACATTCGGAGAACATGTCCAAGCCACCGAAGTCGGTGTTTCAAGATGGTGACACCAATTGAATTATCATCTCTGTGCATTACTGACGTGGTGTTGCCACTGAATGTCAGCAATCCTTCGGAGACAGCGATGATCGAACACAGAGAGTCGTCTAACATCTTCAACTCGGAGAGGTCAGGTTTCACAAGTATAGAGTAAAACTGCTACACCGACGCGTTGTAGATTCGACCTTTTACAGCCAGACTAACATCACGAAGGTGCCAAAGGTGGCCCAGATTGGCATAAGCCGCTCTGGCTTTCACTATTCGTGCATTGATCTCATCACTCACACCCCCACCAGCACTTATGCAGCTACCCAGATACACGAACTTCTCAACTACGTCTATCTGCTCACCGTCCAGCGTGAGTACAGGATTAGAATCCTGCCAGTCTTGTAGAAGTACTTTGCACTTCGAAGGTGCAAAGCACATACCATACCTACGGACACTGATTGCCAACTGATTAAGTGCGGATTGCATGCCTTGGGCATTATCGCACAGTAAGACAATATCATCCGCACACTCAAGGTCGAGAAGTCTTTCTCCAGGCAACAGATCCACACCACCATTACCTACATTCATCAGAGCTGTTTCCAGAATGTCGTCGATGGCAAAGTTGAAGAGGAATGGTGAGATTGGGCAACCCTGTCTAACCCCACTGCTCGAATGGAACAACGGAGAGAGGTGGTTGTATGCTCTCCTTCTGCCCGAGGTGTTTGTATATAGGGCTTTAAGATGTTGATAAACTCCTCAGAAACACCCTTCTTCAATAGACAATCCCAGAAAACAGTCCTACCCAACGAATCGAAGGCAGCGCTGATGTCAAGAAACACTACGATTGTTGGCCTTTGATAAGTATGACGGTGTTCTAACATTTGGCGGAGGGTGAAGATATGATCAATACATCCTCGACCAGAACGAAACCCAGCCTGCTCCTCGCGAGTCAATCTTTCTCGGGTTTTGAACAACCTACGAAGAATGACGGAAGCCAATAGCTTGGACGTAATCGGAAGTAAACTTATCCCCCGATAGTTGTTACAAGAACGACGTGAACCCTTTTTAAAGATAGGGACAACTATCGACTCATTCCATGACGTTGGTACACTCTCTAGTTCCCAAACCTTTGTAAACAACGTCGTCAATTCCTTAGTCAAAAAGTCACCACCATCTTTAAAAAGAGCCGGAGGTAAGTCATCTGGGCCAGGTGATTTGTAACGCTTCAATAGTTGGAGTTCCTTGCGTACTTCCTCCTCGTCTGGTGGATCAGTCGTCACCGGCCATGGAGGGCAGGACAGTCTGACCGATGTTGCCGGAGCAGCAGGCCAGTTGAACTGCCCTTCGAAAAATTCTGCCCATCGTCCAAGACGTCGATGGATGTTAGTGATTGGCATCCCATCATCCTCGCAGATTGTTTCGCTCACACCGGACTTCTTGCTGCCAGTGGCTCGGATGAGTGGGAAGAGCTTCCGGTAGTTACCAGATGCAGCTGCTGCTTCCAGCTCATTAGCACGCTCCGACCACCAGGCTTCTCGGTCCTTACGCAAGCTTTGCCCAATTTCCTTACGTAACATCCTTCGTTTATGGTCAAACTCACGGTCACCCGGAGTAGACCGACGGGCTTCAATGAGTTGTAAGGAACCAGAAGAAACCCAGTGCTTATAAGCGGGACGTTTCGCGAACAAACAACTGACTGTACCCGCCATTTTCATGGCGTCATGCAGTTGCAAACAATGCTCATCTATACTTTTCGGTGGAGTCATAGCTAGCCTAGAGGCTAACTCGGTTCGATACTTACTTGCAACAGAAGTTGCAACGAGCTTGCTTATATCAATCCGTTGGTGGCGTTCACTTCGTTGTCCACTGAAAAGTAATTCGAGATTGGCGCAGATCAAGGCATGGTCAGAGTCCAGATAGGTACTCCGAAAGGAGCGGCAGTCTTGTACACAACCACGCCAGTGGTAGCTGATCGCGATGCGATCAATCTGAGTCCAGACTTGAGATGCAAAGGGAGGACGCCAGGTGGCACATCGGCGATGACTGTGCCGAAAGTTAGTGCTAGCGAGAAACAAGTTGTGGTCTTTGCAAAGTTGCGGTAGACGGTTCCCATTATCTGACCTGCGACCAACGAGTCCCCATCGGCCACCTAAACGACTCTCTTCTGTGCCTAGACGCCGAACCTGAGCATTCAAGTCTCCGGCTAGTACTACAATATTTGTCGAACGCACTTTCTGAAGAAAAGAACAGATAACTGGTGGTAAAACTCATATTTAATTGTATCCGGGCTGCAATCTGTCGGGGCATAGGCGGAGATGACGAAAAGACATCGTTTCTCACTCCGATTTCTTCTCACTTTGATGGAACTCTCTAATCTAACAGCACATAACCGACTGTTAATGGGGATCCAATCGATTCGTGCTGCCTCAGCTCTAGCGCTTAGTGCGACACCAACGCCAGCAAGACCAGACGAAGATGTCACAGGGTCCCCGGATAAGCGCACATAAAACAAGCTTTTTGAAGTGACAGATGTAGAGCGAATTTGTAGTACTTCACCAGAGTCTTCAATACGGGTCTCGGATAGACAACAAACATCAATATTAAGACTTTCCAAAGACATAGCCAGCCCTATCTGTTGTCCAACCTGCATAAGTGTGTGAACGTTGAAGGCAGCCAGTTTGAATGGTGCACGTGGTTTCAGAAAATCTGCTTCAGTCCTCGTATTCGGTGGTAACATACAATTTTCAACCGGACAGTGACTCGAGAACGTTTAGATACAGTCGGATTTCCACCAAAGACGAGCCGCTGTATAGGTATAAAAGAGGGTGAATAATGTGGAAAATAATAATAATAATGATAATAATAACAATAATGACAATAATAGTAGTAATAATAATATTAGTATTAATAATGACAATAATTGTAATGATAATAATCTGAATCAATTGTTTGTTTTTCAAAGCGAGAAAGGTAATTTCCATAGGCATAAAGAGTTCATCAATTTGTGTGTGGGCTGTGATACTGCCCGGGTGCCCAAACCGAAGCAGGTGGTTATCTTAGGGGGCCACTCCCCGAGCCTTTGACCTAAAGGTCTAACCCACAAGGCAGTGGAGCATCGTAAGGAGTTATCCAAACTGAAGTAGATGAAGCGGACCCACAACTCAATGATTGAAAGTCAAACGCCTTAAGCATTGAACCAACGCTTCAATTAGAGATGTAATGGTCAAAATAACATATATAACTATGAAATGAAATCTGTAACCAGTTTATGATTGTATTTCTATAAGATAGTCCCTCGCATACTTAAGAAATGTGTCGAGCCGGATTCAATACACTTATAGAGGATCAACTTATTAAGAACAGTGTTAGTGTTGACTAGTTGTCATTACTAAACATTAGTAAACTGCGTATTAAGAGCAGGGGAAAGAACAATTGTAGAGTGATTTCGGTCGGTCATAAGGAATGTAAAACCAAGCACAAATGTGCATTGGTTCAAGTTGACACATCATATCACACCAACAAAATGAAATTACCAGGACAAATGCACGAGGAGTAGAAGTATTAACAGAATCAATAATAGTAAAAAACATTAGATATGACTCGAAAGGACTGTAGTCAGAGAATAGAAGTCTAAGATATTTTTAAAACTGAAGATCTAATAGAAACAAAATAGTGGGTGCATCTTCGCTATTGTGACTGATGTCACTCAGAATTTTTACTTATTGGTTACGATAGTAGCAACGACTCCAATCATATATTTTCCATCTACCATTACAGTTTAGTCCAATAGTCAGCGATTTGGTATGGTCAATACTAGCTCACTTCAGATCCAGACCAATGAATATCGCCCATTGAAATAGGCTATGTTTGAGCAAACTTAGTACATATATCAACCATCTCAGTTGGTGAAGGTTCATTACCCCATCAACTAAGTTGACATGTTTACCCGGTACTCTATGCCTAACCTCAGCATTGCTCACTTGTTTGTCCCAACATATCAGTTGGCATAACAATACTTTAAACTTACGCTGGTTTTCGACCGAAGAATTTACCATTATTGAGGCTAGAAACTTATTCGCTAGTTGCAAGATTCATTTATATCATAGTCAGCATGTAATACTGTGCAGAGTTCATGCTAACGCCAGGACGAATCGAAGAGTTCTAACTAAACGAAATATGTTACCAGTTGGAGTGACTGATCAGATAAACAATACACTTGGTGTAATATGATATGAATTTATTGCCTAAAAGATAACAAACAATGTGATATTTAAATGTGAACCATTATAGAGAATGACATTGTAGATTATTATATAGAACGAACGCATTGAACATATAGCAATTACTGCATTCTCTTTACTGAAACTTTTGATACCCATTAGTAAGTTACCGAAGAATTTTAACACAAGTAGTAAGATTTTTTCAAATGCTTGTAATGATCTAAACAATTTGCAACAGTACCTTCCTTGAAATAAGAAAATACCCGCAAGCAGTTACAGGAAAAATATTTTAGTGTTTAGAACAGAATATATCACCAAATTATAAAGTTATGAAGCAAAAGATTATATTGAATATGGAAAAGATACATTTTTAAAGCTATATTTAATAAGACAATTAAAAACTGTTGACTACAGAAATTAAGAACCTATAGGGAGAATTTGTAATTATTGAGAAGAAACTATTGGGTTTTGATCTTCTAGTCGATTTGAGTAATAACTAGTTGATACCTTGGTGAAGAACAAAGTTTATCGCCTCTTAAAATACATATCTTGATGTGAAACTCAAGCAACATACAAATACTTAAACACAGAAATGTTTAACTATAAATGGATGAAACGTTTTAGAGATTTTATATCAATAATAGTGAATTACTACTAAGTTGTTAAGCATTTGCTTACCCTAAAAACAATTTACACTGTAAAATCTTTTAGTGCTTGGTATTATTTACAGCTGGTGTAAGTTATTTTAGCTTCTGGACAAGCTAACTTATTCATTCTTTTCAAGCCACATTTTGACCTGGTCAATTATTCACTCATTAACCCTGACTGTTTAAGTATGAAAGAATATATGTGCTAATTGCTTATCCTATTCATTACGTGTCTGTAATTTATTTTTGTCTGAATACGAATATTGAGTAAGGTTTGAGTAGGCTTACTCTTATTCTCCACTACGCGTCATTTCGTATCGCTCCGCTCTCTTCTTCGCTTCGTCTTCCTGGTCGTCTGTCTGGATCAACGATTATATGAAATATACGTATTCAAAATCGATTCTCGTGTTTGGCTTATTTAACTCCATTATTCAGTAACGCGGATTAAGTCGATAATAATATATGAGGGTAGCTGGGATGTATATTTCGATAGCAATCATTCATACGATCCAATTGGAATCAGATAAAGATCCACTAAATCTTTAATTGACTATGCATGTCAAAGTTCAACTTTAGAAAACATAACTAAACAATTGACCGATTACTTTTGTTACCAAAGAAAAAAGAAACAAAAGACAACAATAATAAACATACCACAGAAATTGGCAATATTATCATGAACAGTAATATATATGCTCCAATAACCTGTGTGTATAGAGAACAGAAATAAATAAAATTAAACACACACCCACAAACACAAAAAACACAACTAAATACCGATTAAAAGTTGACAAATTAGAAATAAGGTAGGTTTACCACACAGTCAAATCGGATATGTAAATAATAAAAAGAGTTGTAAGAAAATAATATTTTTTCTCAAAAGAAAATACTTAATTTAGATGATCAAATGTGGTGTATACCCTGACAAAATTCAAAACAAAAGATTAGATTTACAAAAAGTAGATAAGCGTTCCTTCTAATCAGTTGGAAAGTTTCCGCTTACCAAATGTTGGGAATACTAGAACCCTTAGAAATCACTTGGTAAAACATTTTCGCACCAAAGGCGCCCATTTTTACCTTCAGATTGTATTTCACACTTGAAAAAACTTTATGTCATTGGTTCGTCCCCACTTTTAATACGCCATATTATGACGTTTTCCAAGGACATTTTTATGCTGTATGTATACACTTGAGTTGTGTGTTTGTTGCTGTTCGTGCTTCTGAATGTTGTGGAATATACCTTTGTCTCATCTGAACCGAGTCTTCTCTCTGTAGTTAGCAGAGCTGGGACGCATCGTAATAGTTTAGCGTGTCTTTTCGTTGTGTCGCCGATCCTTAGCTGATTCACCGACTTTGGCGATCTTGTAATCGCTTCAAACATAGCACCATATATATATATATATATATATATATATATATATATATATATATATATATATATATATATATATATATATATAATACCAATAATATTTTTTTCTTAGAAAAGAGGAGAATTGAGGATAGAAAAAGCATATGAACGAGGTTAGGATTTAATGTATCGTATGCCAACTTCTTTCTAAACATTATTTATCCTAGTGTAACTTAGATTATTATCTAACTAATTCAATAAAATTGCAAATAATCAGCTAAAATTTACAATAAAATGGTGAACTCTATAAATACCTCTCTATGCAGACTTTTACTGTCAGACAAGGAAAATAAACTAATATATTGTAGTAAAACAAGAATCAGTCTATTCAATCTTTTTAAATAAAATACACATACACTTAGAGGGATCGTGTGAACTTTCTATTAAGGTTGACAGCACCAACCATAACATCAAACGGTAGTCATTAACTGTTAAAATATTGTAGTGAATAAAGACTTTAGGACTCGTCAGCTAGCCATCATCCATCTTTGTTTATAATACTTGTGACTTAAGGCAATATCGAGGCAATCCACACAGGATGTACATATGCCAATAAGAGACTGATCAATTGCAGTCTTAAACATCAATGGGAAGATTCGAATAAACAATACAAAATACTAAGAGATTTGTTTTTTCATTGGAATCTATATTATTTACTTCGAATTCTTGTTTTAATCTAGGAAGAGCTGACTGAAGTGTGGTGGTAATGTACAAGGAGTAGCAGAAAATATTAATATCAGCTGGGAAAATGGTCATCAGTAATAGAAAACGATACAACATCTAGAAAGATAAGCACCAGTCAAACATGTTACACAAATTATTAATACAACAAAAGAAAAAAGTATCAGCACAAGAAAGAAACAAAAGAACAGAATAAGTATATCAGATATACTGGATAACTAAACTTAAGAAGTAAATACTTTAAGACAAACAAATGGATTCAAAGTATGGGATAAATGCTCAGAATAAAACATACCGACTGTTAATAAACATAATTAACTAAGCTACAGCAACATTTCGCTAGTAATACATTAAATCCGTCTATAGATAAAATGTGAAATAGTACAATTGTGTTTAAAATTTAGTAAGAATTTTCGTTTAGTTATATTCGATGAAACTAATAATCATGTAGAGCTTATACCTACCAATAAATTATTCCTTTTTAGCAACTTATTAATGAATGAAAATAAGTTTACGAACATTTTCTATTGATGAATGAGTTTAAAAACAAAAACAAGACAAAAGGATAATTTATACATGAATGTAAGGCAGTTAACATACCAGATAGAAATTTTCCTTTTGAACCATCCATTTGGGCAATGCAATACCAAAATGAGCAGCTGTTAAAAGAAAAATATAGAAATTTAAGTATATCGTTTATTTTTGTTATTATTTAAAAGCAGCTTAAAAGACATATAGTTTGTTTTAGGCTAGAGATGAGAAATATTGTAATAGTTGTTTTTCGCAAGTTAGAATATGCAAAATAAGTAAGCTTAATCAAATAATAGATGAGTTTTTTTAAGCTTATATTTGAGTGATTAACATAACCATTAGTTAGACACTTTGGATGAGATGACTCAAAATTGTTCTCAATGGTGTATGCGTATTCAATCTTTGTTTTCCCTGAGAATCTAAGTTTTCGAATCCCTGATAATTTTTTCTTCAATAATTTACATTTTCTTGAAACCGTTCTTTCGTCTAGTCTTCTCTATTAATACTTCTACTAGTCTAGGGTTTCTCCTGACAATTTCATCTAGCCAAGTGCTGATAGGGTATGGCAACCTGAAACGATGCGTACATGTGCTAGGTTCTACATTGTTCAACTTTGATATAATTGGATGGACGTTTGTCAATCGCAGATAGAATAGCGATATTAATTATTATGTGGATCTAAAGAAACATTTAACTTTTACTCAGAATACAGTTTCACAAAACGCTAAATGTATACTCTGAATAAACATCGTGTTATAGTGATATATCTTTTGATATACATATTGGTGGATAAATGAAAACAGACAGATGAGAGTATTAAATATTGTGTGTAAAACAATATAGTTTTTTTTTAAAAAAAGATCATCATTAAGTTATTTTCAAAAAAGAAAGAATTATATACGAACTTGAATCTATCAATAGTTAAATAGCTTCACAAACAACAACAAACACATGTGGAGGATGCTGTCAATACTGAATTCAATCCAGGCATGCATTAAATCGATTAAAATTTTGAAATAACTGAACATTGACCCGTGGAGCTTATTTGTGAAAAGCTTTTGACGGTCAACTAGTAAAATACAGATTTCAATCCTGGCCTAACGCATATTTTCACGACTAATTGAACAACGTAACCCAAAGCTTAATGCATAAATCTGTAGATGTTCTCTAAGCTAGATGGTTTAATTACGAAGGTTTCGTCGTCTTTCGCAATATCGTTATCATGACATACTTTAAGTAAATGTGAGGTTTACATTTAATCGATAGATATTAAACGAGTTCGTTCTGTACTTGATGAGTTATATAAGAAAAGCAATAATAACTACGAGTGACCAGAATAAACGTAAAAATAAATTTATATACGATTACTTATAATTTTGCAATAATATATTTACAAAGAGTTATCTGTATTTGAGTATGAAATCTTTTTATTCTAATATACTCTCATATCCATTATTTATTTACTTAAACACATAAACATTAGTGCAAGGGGGCATCAAGTATACATGTGTCACACTTCATTCGACTTTGTGAGGTCTGCAATACTGTCCGGGTGCCCAAACCGAAGCAGGTGGTTCTCTTAGGGAACCACTACCTAAGCCTTTGACCTAGGGGTCTAATCCACAAGGTGGTGGAGCAACTCCGGGAGATGCAACCACATGGTGGCCGGAGACCAACAGTAGGTTCATATACCTTTTGTTCCTTCAGGATCCTGGAGTCCATATGCACCACTGGTTTAGAATCAGAGTTTTCTGACTCCCCTAGGTGGATCCTTTGTGTCCACTAACCCAGTTAAGGCGCTGGACATTCGCCTTTTATCCTCTCAATTTCATAAACAACACCCCGCCGCGAGAAAGCAGTGAGTAGGACGTCACTGGTGGTGGCTATGTACACGTAGCTATGTGAAAGTATTTCGAGAGGAAGAGATGACTCTCCTCACCCTCGGTCATACCAGAGCATTAATTTAACTCATTAGAAAAACACAAACATATGTCCATTACATACATAAAGAAAAATTAGACATATTTAAACTATGCTGACACAAAACTAACGATAAACTTCTCAATTCACTGAGAAGGCACACAAACAATTATATTGTAACGGATTAAAAACGTACACAGAACGCCTAATTTAAATAGACGAAAGCTATGAAATTTATTAATCATGCTTTGAACCAAATGAATAATTAAACAATTTAAATCCACATAACTCGGTAACACGTAAAAGATAGATTTGGTTTTCCAGAGCCAAATAAATAAAGCATGATTCTAGTTCTGATGAATAAGTAGCTAAAATTACAGTCAATAAACAGCTCCACACAATTATAATCGCTTTCCTCAATTCGGTTGGTTAGTTTTATGTCACTAAGTTATAATCAAAAAGGAGCTTGGCACAAATGTGAGTTAACCGAAATCGACATACCATGTTAACACGACAGGATGAAGTTAAGCATACAAATCGAAATAATGAAGTTGAAATGACGAGAAGGAATAAAAATTAAGAACACTTCGAAAAAAAACATATTAAGGAGATAAGTATGAAGCAACTGGATCGAAGATGTGGAGTAAGATTTTTTTGAAATGGATCGGCGCTATTGTGAGCAACTCTGAGATGTGTCAACCAGCAACTCCAATCTTCGACAGAGATTTTCGCGCGGATCTCAACCAGCTAGTCTGAATTTACCAACGGAGCCTACACTAACAGTCAATGATTTTATAAACTAATGCCAAGCTCTCGTTTGGCAGCCCGTGATTTTCTCCCAACTGACAAAACCTACAATTGGCATCGAGGTAGGCATTGGTTAGTAACTCATAACACATATATGCAACATCTGAACTAGGATATTGAATAAAATTTAATTAAACTCACCACCAGGACCATCGGGATTACCAAATTCTTCCCAATTTTTTCTTGATTCTTCATTAGTTAGGCTTCATAAGTAAGACAAAGTCATAAGTACATTTATGATTAATAAAAAATATATATAACTACTCTTTGTATGAAACAAGATGCGATAACAATCATTTTACATATGCCATAAGAATATGTCACTTATTGCAATATGTTTATGTTAACCATTCGATGACATTTAGTTAAAAAGGGGATTAATGAATAAGTTTTAACTGTTATAAGTATAATAATGAATGAAAGTTGTCCAATATTCACACAATATAAAGTTGACGCTTTTAGTTTACAAATGATAAGTTATGATAAATCATCATAAGGAGAAATTGATTGTCCATTTAAAATGCACTTACAAAGAAAGACATATGTCAAGAAATAAAAATTGTATTGAACACAAAATACACTGAAAATTAAACCTAAATTCTTTCAAACAGAAAAAAAAGGAAATAATAAAATCCTGTGTTTGTTAGACTGATATTTTTTATTTTTGAAAGCACTATACAAACTGACTTACGGAGTTATAAATGTTGATTATTTATCAAACCTACATGATGAATAATATGCTTGTATACATGTAAAGACGCTCACTAAACAACGATGTACATTATAAGATATAATAATGATCAACAGATAATTACATGCCAATCAGTAGCGCAATAGACAAACATCAACATATAGCCTGAGAAAGATGTTTGCTAGCCTAAGTTGCCATACCACATTAGCACGACAAGATGGAAATGACAAAAACGCATAAAATAATGTAGTAACAATGGGAATATGTTTCGAAAATAAAAAGTGGAAAGGTCACTGCAAAAAATGCATCTGCGTCAATGTGAACGATTCCAAGTTATATGACACAGTCTTTAACCCCAACCAGGTGTTCTGGAATTGCCTATGTGTGTCAGACTAACAGGCAATTGCTTCATTGACTGATGCTACACTTTGATTCGATTACCCCCAGCTTTCTTCCAACGTAATTCTAAAATATTAAGTGTTGCTCGCGTGAAGTAGGAGGTGGTTATGCATACACAGAAATATGCCCCAACCACCTCAATCGATGAAGATTTAAAACATTAACTGGTTTGTCAAATTTTCCCAGTACTGTATGCGTCAATCGTTCGGTCGTTCATTCATTTGTCTGAACACAAATATTGAGACAAAGGGGGCACCAGATACATATGCGCCACAGAAGTCACTTGATTTGTGTGTGGACTGTGATAATACCCGGGTGCCCTGACCAAAGCAGGTGATCTTCTTAGGCAGGCACACCAGAAGTTTTCGACCTAAAGATCTGATCCACAAGGCAGTGGAGCAACTTCAGGAGGTGCAGTCCCATGGTAGCCAGTGACTAGTGATTGGTTCATATGTCATTTGTTCTTTCACGATCCTGGAGTCCATGTGCACCATTGGTTTGGAATCAGGATTTTCCAACTCCCCTAAGTGAAGTCTCCGTGTCCACTAATCCGATTAAAGCGCCGGACATTCGCTTTTCGCTCTCTCAATTTCGTAAGCAGAACCCCGCCACGAGAAAGCAGTGAGTAGGACTTCCATGAAGCGGGAGCAATACTTCGAAGACATCTATGATCAAAAGCCAGTCCATGCACATCTACTCTCATAGACCATATTTCACAGCAAAAAAACCGGCAAAGAAAGCATCCAGCTGATTTGTGCTACAGGTACTAACGGTTTAATCATCATGAACATAGATTAAAAAGTGTCAGAACAACTCAGTAATTCGTAAAGTTGGGATATATTTCTAGATAGGAAGATTATTTTGAGTGGTATTTTGTCAATAATAAAAAGTAACACCTGATATGAAGCAATATTTGAGTCATCGGTTCAAAAATGAAACAATAATGCCTTAAATTATTTATACAGTTGTTCCATGAAAAGATCAGGTAATAATTTACTGAACTTTGTTGTGGAATGCATAAACACTTCGAGAGACACTTGAATGCAGTCAGAAAAGTATATATAAGCCAAATACCTTGGCTCGTTTGGGCTTTTTAATAAAGTTGGGGTGCCATATTTGCAGTGAAATAAACCTTAATATAGAATCACTAGCTACCTTTTTTTCAGATAAGCAACCTTAAATACGACCAATCAAAGTGTAGTGGGTCATCAGTGGTACAGCAACTTGTCGGTTTAGGAAAGATGACTGGTGGAAGTAAAATCAAATTACAAGTGACCCAGAAACAATCTGGAACGACAGAACCTCCCAAACAACTTATGGTAACACACATAACAATAAACCACACAATATAAGTGTACCATTTATTGGAATAACTATGTTTTGATGAGACTAACTTTTAGCATACAACAGCTACAACCATGCAAATCACGACGTTGCTGTAACGAACTACCTATACACCATCTACAAATTACTTTCTCAAGTTTCAAAAAAGCCCACATTTGAGACAATAGGATGCTACTTCATTTTTTGAAATAACGTAAGTGATAGGGGCGGAATTTAACAATGGCACTTTGTGGATGACGACAATACAACACACGGCAAACAAGAATGAAGACAGTTACGCTAGATTAGAGATAAGTATGGAACTGGATACCATAGGTCACTGTTGGTTAGTTGCGGGGATTTTAGAACAGTACGGACGATAATGACCTTTATGAGACTAAATAAAGATACGTCAATCACGTTTAGTACAGCCAAAATCAGAAGGAAACTAGGATACTGTGCAATGTTATGGTCTCTTCCTAAACCACGAATAAAATTCTTTGAGAATTTTAAAGGAGTGCTACTTATGAGATTCCGGAGATGTAAGGCTGAATCTAGGGCAAGCAGCTTCAGAAGTGAGGTCTTTTTACACTATTTTACCGAAAATTGGGGGAGAATTGGCTATGATTCACCAGATAATGACAGCTTTTAATTTTGACAAATCTGCTTTCTTCCAGACAGACCATAACACAAAGCTATTAAGTTAAAAAGCCAACAACGAATCAGACCACAATGAAGCAAGGGTTTTTTTTATCGAGTGACTTACATCTGGAACCTACTACCGGGAGAAATAATATTTGTGCGTTTCCTTGACCCACTTATGCAAAGGCTGGAGACCCGTACTTAAATGCGAACCCATATCATATTTTATGAGAGATCTAATACACATGCAAAATAATACAGAGAAGTCGAAAAACTTCAACAGTAATAAGCCTCTTTAAGATATTTTCCTAAGAGCAATAACAATCAAGTTCTATAATAATAAAAATGTAATATTTTCTGTTATCACACGACATATTAGAGCCAATTAGTGACATATGATCACCTAGAAAATCAAACTTACGCGTTATATGCTTTTGAGATTTGTATAAAGCGTTTGGGATCACCACCTTTATCAGGATGGTTCAGTAAGGATAGTTTTTTGTACGCACTTCGGATATCTTTGGGAGATGCATCCTATAGAATAATGCGATATCTAACACACAATTACTTTGTCAATTCCCAAAACCAAGAACGGATCGAATCCAGAGTTATCAGGCTCAATTAAAGTGAGTTTGTACACAAGTAAGAAAAATATTCCCCAGCCAGCAACAAATGCAGCCTTTCTACAAAATAAATTGTTTGAATTCTATAATAACTAACATTATGATTTTTTTGAGCCTTTTAAGCGGTGTGGAAGATTTTATATGATGCCTTTTGAGTTGGCAAGGTTGACACATGCATTTTCTTTTAGATTGCTCATATGATTCTTGACATTTTCATTATGTTTAAGAATATATTACCTTTGAACTCAAGGGATGGCCAACAGAAATAGGTGAGTGGGATTAAAACTAAGGTGTAAAATGCAGTCAGAAAGCACAGGAATGTATCTCCACTCTCATCAAACTCGAAGTGGTCACCTGGCATTTTTCGGCAAGGACAAATACCAAACCACCCGCGCTAGTTTCTCAATATCTTAAAGTAGCCGGGGTGATAGGTCGATTGCCTTGTGTTAGTCTTTGAAGTAAGAGTTTTAGTAAAGTTCATTTTGTCAGGACGGATTTCTAAAGAGCGGTATACATTATTGAATGTATAGGGTTATCCATTACCCAATATCTTTGTGGCAAGCTTAAACAAATCAATTGGTCTATTTGTACTGGCTTCTTGTTGCTTCGGTACGGCTTCAGGTACTTGTAATACCCAGTAAATAATAGCCTAACCACCCGAATGCAATAATTATACACAGTTTGGTAGTTGTGTTCGGGTTTGTGTGTCTTATAGTCTGAGTGAGTATGTTTATCTCAAAGCAGTAGATTATCTCGATGCCAGAAGCAAACACATTTCCGGTTAGAACGTAAGTTGGTTGCAGTGTGAAAATGATAAAGTAGTGATTCGGATGTCGAGAAAAGGTGATCTTTTTTGAAAACCAAATCAACAAATCAGTAAGTTCAGTAAAGGGAAATGGGGATGAAGACTAGCGAGATATGTGATAATGATGACATGATATGTTATAAAACATGCATCGTGTATATCCTGTCAATACGGTGGGTGGTTTTACACGAATAATTACGAGTTTGTCAAGTCTCTACTCCACAGAACTAATTTATCTAGCAGATAGTAACAAGTATTAAAAACAGAAGTGGACACTAAGATTGACCCTTACTAAACCCGGTACGAATTGTCGAGTCCTCTGGGTACTTTCGGAGCCAGGATAGAAGTGTGATATTGAAATCAATCTGCGACCTTTGCATTGACAAATGAGGCACTGTTTAAAAAGCTGTTGGAAAATCTATTGATTGTATCCCCCTTCGATTTGATTCTTGGTCCCATATTTGTTCATAATTTTTCTGATTACTTGATAAATTGGATCGATTTCAATATGCTCTTTGATAGCTGATCGACCTGAGTGTCAAGCTTCTAAAAATTCCCTGGTGTTTTTAGTATTCCCTCTAACGAAGACCTCTACATTTTCTTAGTCGAATGTGTGTCCACATTTGACCACATGCATTGATATAGGCGAGGGTATGTCATGTCGTTTGACTGCCAATCGATGTTTATGCAAGTCGATGAAGAGGAGGTCCACTCTGTCCGACATAGTGTTTTAGTAGTTGGAACAATTCATTTTATGGATGATTCTCGGTTTTTTCCTCCTTTTTCATTTCGTCCTTTGGTTTACATAGGTTTGGTCAAAGTGATTTTGTTGTTATGTGTGTCACACTTATTCCAAAAGTCTTCAACAATCTTATTGTAATTTCTGACATGCCTTTTATATGTAGCAGGATGAACCGTTGGTTGGTTTCTACGCTTGATTTTGTTTCTGTTGATGCGTTTAGTTTATATTTTTTGATTAGATTGTTTGGGTAGCCGTTCGTTTGAAAGATAATCTTCAGATGTTTTTCTTCATTTGTCCGCGCTGCAAGTGTTTTGCAGTGTGTTTTTGCCCTCTTGAATAAAGTTTAATTTTGAGAGTTCTTGGTTTGTTGTAACTGCAATTAAGGATTTGATCTATGTGGGTTGGCTTCCGATGAACTTGAGTCTCCAGTTTTCCTATACCAGTTCTGGTGATCAATACATCCAAGAATGATAGCTTGTCGTTTGATTCCTGGTCTATTGTCAACATTATGTCATCCAAGATGTTATTGATCAGATTGTTAGTGTTTTCCTGCTCGTTCTTTTTGACGATGACGAATATGCTGTCCACAAGGCGAATCCAAATTTTTGGTCTGATCGGTGATAAGATAGAGGCTTCTAGTCAGCGCGTCACTGCTTCTGCAATAAATCCTGATATTGGTGATCCAATTTGCGTTCCTTTCATTTGTTCGTAGATTTTGTTGTTGAATTGAAAGTATCTTGTTGAGCACAAATCGATGAGTACTGGTTAACTTTGGAGCTTCGTGTACTTTAGGAGATTTGTGTCCTTGGTGCGAAGAAAGGATACAGTTTCTTTTATTAGGTTCAATCAAATTGAATAAGGCTGCTGTATCGAAGGATATCATCAGTTAGTTGTTGCTAAATTGAATTTCCTTAATTTTACCTAGGAATTGTACCGGAGATTTAATTGAATTATTAGATGAATCCACTAAATTTCTCAATATACTGAAAATTTATCTCAACAAATTGTAAATTGATGTTCCGGGGTGTTCTACAATTGGAAGTACTGGGGTGTTTGGTCTGTGTATTTTTAGCCTACCACAGAATCGAGGGAGTACGGGTCCAGTGGGTTTCATTCTCCACTGATCTTTCTTTAATGTTTGTTCTGCTTTGACGAGTCTGTTTAAAGTCCTTGGGATATTTCGTTTAACCTGACTGGATTTTTGTTCATTGGTTTGTATACGCTTTTATCCTCAGCTGGTTTAACATGTATTTTTTTATTCACCGATATTATGGCAATATCTTCTATAGTTCCGGGTTTCTTTAAGTTGTTTTCTTGTCAAGTCAATTGACTTTATGGTTTATCATATGTCCTACTGAGTTTCTTCACTTATTCCCGTAGGTATTAGTGATACTTTTCGTGGGGCAAGGAATTTTCGTTTTCGTGAGTCATTAAAAGTCACCAGTCAAATAGCTACGGAAATGATCAGATACAACTTTGCGGTGCCCAGAACCATTGGAACGCATTGGATCCAAGCTGAACAGAACGGGTGAGATTCAGTATTGATGCTGTTGTACTCTGTTCACAGAGAATGATATGCTCCGCACACTCGGAAGTTGTTCTGATACTGATACTCCATCCAGTAACAAATGACCTTGCTAAAACAGTGCTAACTTGAGTAAGCAAACTCTACCCTCCGAGTTGATGGAAGAATTATGACGCCTCATGATGATAGCCGAGATTCTTTGGACGTCACAAAACCAACCCCCTTTTAACAACCAGGGCAACAATCAATATAGGTACACTGAATGTTCGGTCGATGTAGGAGACCGGAGGAACGAGTCAAACAGCCACAGAAATGGAGTGATACAACGTGATAGTGCTCGGAATCAGCAAGACACATTAAAAACCAAGCTGGACAGTGAAGGTTAGATACGGGAGAGATGCTTCTGAGCTCTGTTCATCAAGAGGATCATGCTCCACACACTCAGAAATTTACTATATTGCTGTTAATGAAGCACGAAATGCGCTTATGAGATTGGAATCTCATGGACCCCGGATAGTCAATGCATCATTCAAAATAAAGTAGGAGGGAATCACAGTGAATCGCATCCATCGTTCTACACCCATCAATGATAGCAACAACGACGACAATGATCAGTTTTACGAGAGGCTGCAATCGATCGTAGAGAAATACTCAGGAAAAGGACCAAACACCTTGATGGAAGATCTAAACGGAAAAGTCGGAATGGATAATGACGGTTAAGAAGATATCATGGGAAGGCATGAACTAGGAGAGGGAAAGGAAAATGTGGAGATATTTACAAACTTATGTGCATTCAACAACTTGGTTATCGCCGGAACAATATTCCCACACAAACGCATACATAAATTTACATGGGTCTCACCGGATCACATGATGGAGAACCAGGTCGATCACATTTTCGCTTCAGTAAAAATCACAATGTCAGTGAAAAACGTGAGAACCAATAGAAGAGTTGGCATAGGTCCAAATCACCACCTGGTTATGGCCAGTAAAGAAGCAGTGGACAATTAGGTAAATAGCATGACATATGTTCAATACAGCCTTCTTTCCAGATACTGAAAAACTCAATGAATTGGAGATAACTCTGAACAACAGGTTACAAGCCTTTCAAGATCTACTCAACGAAATGGAACTTATGTTAAGGAATGGACACATAGGTGCATTAAACTTGGAAACTGTGTAATTCAGAAGAACAAGAGGAGATATGTTGATCCGATTCATTCACACTCACAACATGTAACCTAAATATCCGCGGAATAGTAAAAGCGCTGAGAGTGTAGGCGATATATTTCACGCCCGAACTACGAAAATGATTTGGCTTTATCTGAGAACCCAGAAAAGTATACATGTAAATACATACTAACTTTCTAACTGCAATTTTTTAAACTACGAAATTCTTCATATTAGACATAGCAATACGATAATGTGACCGCATTAGTTTTGATGGACCAAACGCTTCTCGATATATTGATAGCCTTCCAAATATATACTTGAATCTCTTCATTTCTGATCTCTTACTTGACTGGGTTGGTACACTTCGCTTATATAGGTGTTATGTGTAAAGACATTGTCATTTTTACACTTTACATTTGTTATTTATCATCAACTCACATTTTTAGGTATAATGATATAATGAATGTATTTCTATATCGCGAATACCTCTCTGATACAGCCAAGATGTGGAATCCAGGTTCCTAAGGGTTGTATTTTTCTTTGAAAGCTTGAGGTTTGAAGGGAAACGGCGGCAGCTAAACTTGGTGGTTCTGTGCAAGGACATCTGGTAACATACGCTTCATTAATGAAAGTATGTTCGGTAGATGTCTGTAATAAATGTTTACGGGTTGTTTATCTGTAGTGCTATTCTCATTGTCTTGTTGAACTTCGTAGTAGTCTGGCTTTATACTATTTATAGAGATTGTCTCATTCCCACACTTGTTGATGATGAATCGTTTGTTTTTTCGTTTAATTACTTGGTACGGTCATTCCTAAGATTGATTCAATGGCTTTTTAACGCCATCGATCCGAAAAAAGACAATTTTACACTTCAAGGCATTTGTCAATTTGTACGCGATTGTTATATTCGCGCGGCGGTATTGCTTTGATATTTTGCATCGTTTGCAGTAGACGGATCAAAAAACGATTTCGATCAGGTGGTATTTTTGTGTCTGGGTCTACTAGCTGATTTGTAAATGTAAGAGTTCTACCGTAAACTACTTCGGGGGATGTGCAACCTATATTTTCTTTGAAAGTTGAACGGATTCCCAGCATTACGAGTGGTAGTGCATCACTCCATTTTGATTTATCAGTTTGTGCAAACAGAGAGCTTCCCAAATGGCGGTGCATTCTTTTGACCCGATCATTATCTACCGGATGGTACTCTGTTGCTTTGATGTACTTCAATCCCACAAGTTTGATAAAATCCTGGAATAGGATGGATTGAAACTGGGGACCACGGTATGTAGTAACGATTGCGAGTACTCCGTAATTTGATATCCACCGATCAAGGAATACGGCTTCAACTGTCTCTGCGGATGTATCTGTGATAGGACATGCTGTCGCTCATCTTGTAAACCTGTCCACTGCGGTAAGAGTATGCGTGAAAGAGTTTGATGGTGGCAGGGGACCAACTATGTCTAGATGAATATGTTGAAAGCGTTTATCAGGCAATGGAAACTTCCCAAGAGGACTAACTGTGTGTCTTTGAACTTTGCTGCGTTGGCATTGTAAACAATTTCTGGTCCATTGCTTTATATTTGCGTTCATTTTTGGCCAAACAAATCTTTCCGCGTTCAGTCTCACAGTTACCTTAGCCAAAAGACCTGTTGCTAAAAGTGGAAAATATACTTTAACAGCGGCTAATGAAACTGAAGTAAAGACATTTGGTGAACAACTCCTGGCATTAGATTTGGGTATAAGACGTCGTTTAAACTGGGTGTTTATTATCGCTGATGTCCGTCACCCTATATTAGGTGCAGACTTCCTAAGCTCCTACAACCTACTAGTTGATGTTAAAAGAAGAAAACTTGTCGTTTCTTGCACAAAACTTCAAGTTCCTGGAATTCAGTCGGACTGTCATATACATAGTATTAAAATAGACACTCCAGCAAACGATATATTCGCCTATATTTTATCTAAATTTCCCAAGATAACGAAACCGGACTATGGTGAAAACACCATCCAACATTCCATAGTACATCGAATCATCACAAAATGCCAACCAGTTTCGGCATGTCCACACCGATTACCACCGGACAAGCTTACTGTTGTAGAAGCTGAATTTGAGCACATGATACAACTTGGGATAATACGTCCGTCAAGTAGCCCCTGGGCATCCCCACTCCACATGGTACGTAAGCAAGATCAGGGTTGGCGACCCTGTGGTGATTATCGGTCATTGAATAACTTGACGTTACCTGATTGCTACCCCATTCGCTTACCTTACACGGCAAACAATTTTTTTCTAAAATCGGTCTTGTGAGAGCGTACCATCAGATTCCAGTAGCATCCGAGGATATAGTAAAAACAGCCATTATAAATCCATTTGGTTTGTTTGAATTTCTGAGAATGTCATTTGGATTAAAGAATGCTGCACAGACTTTTCAACGATTTATGGATGGTCACTAAAGGTCTAAATTTTGTTTTCGTGTATATTGACGAAGTATTAATAGCTAGCAGTTTGTTTCACGGCTTCGGTTGCTTGGATATTTTCTACGAATGTCGTCCCAGAGAATTCCACGTCGTGCATTATTTGCCGACGCTGGGACTGGTTGGAAAAGCGGAGATGTGGTCAGTGTATGACATGGTGTCGTGTTATGAAAGAAAGCTGCAAAGGGCTGGCTTCTGTTTGTCCTTCTCGACTCCCTGGCTGGGTTCCGAGAGATGGTGCAACACAGTGGCTAGAGACGTTATCAGATATGGCTCAGAATAGAAGCCAGTGGCGATCCTGCTGTAAGCTTCTTTTACTTTCTTCATAAAATGTAGTTGTACCTTCCTTAACTGAAGGAATTCTTCTGGTTGTACCCTTCCGTTTCCCCCACTATTATTATTATTAATATAACACTACCACACACTAATCTGTGGTCGTTATTATTCTTTTTTTCTTATACGCACCTTACATTCTTTTTCTCTCCCCATTCTCATTGTTTTTTGTGGCGCATATATATCTGGTGCCCACTTGTACCAATATCTATGTGTTCATATGAATGAATAAATAATATCAACTATTCGAAAGATTTCAGAGATATGGTATAGTTATTAATCCATCCAAATGCATTTTTGGAGTCGAGAGTTAAGAGTTCTTAGGTCACTCGATTGACAAACGTGGAATCAAACCGTTAGACACAAAAATTGCAACCATCAAAAGTTTCCCAGAACCAGATTCATGGAATAAACTCCGACGTTTCTTGGGAATGACTAATTTTCATCATCGGTTTATTCCGCACTGCTCAGCCATTCTACAGCCTTTAACGGAAATGTTAAAAGGCATTCAAAAAGTTCACATTATCCTCCGAAGCGAAAGATGCCTTCCCTGCAGCTAAAACAGAAATTGCTTCTACTACTAGGCTGACCTACCTAAGTCCTGACCCGGAAGCAACACTAATTCTGTGTACAGACGCATCCCAGGCAGCAGTAGGGGCGGTACTATAACAGCGAGTAAATAATGGAGTCAAACTACTTGCTTTCTTTTCAAAGAAGCTAAAACCAACTCAAACTCGATATAGTATTTTTGGTAGAGAATTATTGGCCATTTATCTAGTTGTTAAACATTTTAAACACTTACTGTAAGGTAGAGATTTCGTGATACTCATTGATCACAAACCTTAAACTTACTCCTTTAACGCTAAAATCGATCGTAATTCACCTAGAGACATTCGGCAACTAGATTATATTTCCCAATTTTCGACCAATACACAGTTTATAAAAGGTAACTCAAATGTTGTTGGAGATACAATACCATGTTTCAACGTCGATCCAATTTGCTTCACCAACGGAATCGATTTGTTAGACATTGCACGTTTACAGACAGATGATTCTGATCTTGCTGCCTATAAGCAAAGTCCGAGTCTGGTGTTAGTGTCCCAATACCACATTCTGACTCAACTATATTTTGTGGTACTTCGACTGGAACACACGGAACATTTCTGTCAATAGTGTACAGAAAAACAGGTTTTGATTGTCCCCACTCATCATCTCATCCAGAAATCCGTGCTACTGTGAGACTGAACGCGGAAAGATTTGTTTGGCCAAAAATGAACGCAAATATAAAGCAATGGACCAGAAATTGTTTACAATGCCAACGCAGCAAAGTTCAAAGACACACAGTTAGTCCTCTTGGGAAGTTTCCATTGCCTGATAAACGCTTTCAACATATTCATCTAGACATAGTTGGTCCCCTGCCACCATCAAACTCTTTCACGCATACTCTTACCGCAGTGGACAGGTTTACAAGATGAGCGACAGCATGTCCTATCACAGATACATCCGCAGAGACAGTTGAAGCCGTATTCCTTGATCGGTGGATATCAAATTACGGAGTACTCGCAATCGTTACTACATACCGTGGTCCCCAGTTTCAATCCATCCTATTCCAGGGTTTTACCAAGCCTGGCACTTGAACCGGGTTGGTTGACACGAAGGATTCAACTAGTTGTGTTCGTAAGCTCTGTTTCCAAACAAATGGCGTATGAACTAACCATTGGTCACTGGCTATCATGGGGCTGCGTCTCTTGAAGTTGCTTTACTGCCTTGTGGATCAAATCTTTAGGTCAAAGGCTTCTGGTGTGACCCCTTAAGGTCACCTGCTTCGGTTTGGTTACCCTAACAGTCTCACAGTCCACACAAAAATGAAGTGATCTTTTTGGCGCATATGTATTTTATTTCTCTGTGTACTGGTATTTGTGTTCAATTAGATAAATGCCTCAGTTTTTTCACGAAATTCCAAACATCTTCGTGATGGAATTGCACACCACACCCGTAAGTTACTAGTATTTGACCGCAGATGCCTTAGAAATATTGCTGGCATCTGCTGGGATCACCGGGTAAGTAATAGTGAGGTTAGACGCAGGGTATTAGGGAATGATGGTAAATCAGTTGATGAGGTTATGAATCTTCATCGACTGAGATGGTTGGGCCACGTATTACGTATGCCTGAACACCGATTACCACGACGTGCAATGCTAACCGGGGTAGGGGATGGTTGGAAGAAAGTTAGGGGCGGCCAAACCAAAACGTGGCATCAGTGCCTGAAGTCACTAACTTCTAGTCTGAGCCATGTTGGTAGATGCAGACTACTTGGTTGGGGTCCGCGTGACTTTCGTAACCAATGGTTGGAGACTCTTGGTGACATGGCTCAGAATCGATCACAATGGCGTCGGTGTATACACTCCCTGTCTTCCCTTAAACTAAGAGACTAAAATCACTTCATTCTTTCTGTCTACGAACTAATTCTTTCTTCCTATACTATATCCTTATTGCAACCTTTGACCTAACTACTCCTATGAATCCGCTGTTCATCTTGCTGTGCTAATGAGGTATGGCAACCTGGACCGATGCACATATATGCCTGGTCCTACGTTGTAGCTGACTGACTGACTGACTATTAAAGTTCTCATTATTTGCAAGAATGACAAAATTGAAAGATTCAGTGAAGTTTCTACTTTTAAACTGAGAATGGGAAAATATAAAGCAAGTAGGATCGATGCGTATGTAACCATGTGGCATGATTTGTATATCTGTAGAACTAACCAAAAAGCCTTCAATAGTGAAATCACAGTATTCATCAGTAAGAGTACAAAGCAATCTGCTCTACCCGATATCCTAATCCCAACTCAAGTTTAACACACCTAACGAGTGGTCAAACAAACATGTATGTGAAGCAAGTGTACTTGTCAGGTCGAATAGTATGTTAGACATAAGGCCAACTTCCAGATCCATGTTTGTTCTGTTTTCTAACCGATTTTCTATTTGCAGGTTTTGTCGGATACATGGACTTATTATACCATGAGGACATCCCTATCGATCTAATAACAGAGCAACTTATTGGATGTAAATGTGAAAATATCTGCCGCCTAGAAGACAATTGTACTTGTTTATTGAAATCTGGAATGTCATATGATATGAATGGTTTACTGACTAATTTTATGAATCCAATTTTTGAATGCAACAGTGAATGTGTTTGTAGTCAATCATGCACTAATCGAGTCGTCCAAAGATATTTAAACGATGCTGAGTTTACATTTGAGTCTGAGTACCATACGAAAACTTATGTAACTAATCATCCGGTTATGGGTAGAGGTTTAAAAGCAGCTTGTGAAATCCAACGTGGGGAACTCGTTTGTGTTTATTTGGGTGAAGTAATTCCATATAAAGAAGCTTGCCTGAGAGAAGCCCTTCAACTTTCATGTTATGGTCGCAATTTTATCATGATAATGCGTGAGTATAGTGACCATCATCTTGTGTCAGAGACATGTGTTGACGGGAATTCCGAATCGTGGGGTTCAGTGAAGTCGAAAGCACGCCTAATTAACCATTCTTGTACACCTAATCTAACAGTAGTTCCTGTTCGAGTTGATAGTTTCATTCCCTATTTAGCATTATTTGCTAACAAAGTTATCTTTGAAGGTACACAACTGTCATATGATTATGCTCAGTCTGTGCCCAGCGACAAAATACGATTATCCAACACGCTTTGTTTATGCAGCTCGGACTCCTGTCGAGTATACATGCCTGGAGTATAAGTATAGTTCATTTAGAAGAAATCGAAGTGTCTCAAATCAGTTCAGAAGCATGCAGTTGTCAAAAATATCTTGGTGGTTATTGAATATATTGTGAGTTAGTACGTGGATATTTATGCATAAAGTCATCGTTCGCTTGGTACGTTGTTTGTACATTTTTTGTACGGCTATGAGTGCGTATTTGTTAATTTTTAATGTCTTAAATCAACTGAGTACTATCACTGCGAGGTTAATGTCTACTTAATTTTTGCCAATATAACCCGTTTACCAAATTCAGGGATTTTAATCCGGTTTCAAGTCACTTTCTGCGTAAGGGTTAATGGTACCAGTAAGCCGTCCAAACCTAAGTGTAGCGGGATTCAAAACAGAAGAAGCTGGTTGGAGGCTACTACGCGATGTTTAAGTTTTCAGAACTGTTCACAACGTAATATGTATACATTGCTGATAAGTTTGAAGGTAGGGAAATCAAGTCAAATTTAATAGGTTGCTATCAAACAATAGTAGCGATTCGCGTCCTGATGATACATGGTATCTTGTTAAAAGACAACTATCAATAGTAAGGAAGCAGAAATAGTCTGTAATTTAGCTTACTCCCCAACTATTTAGGCTTTTTCAAGATCAACTATCAAGTCGCTCTTATTGAAACTGTATTGTCATTACTGTTATAATTAAACAACAATTCATCGCAGTAATTGGTAGAACATTTGGTGGCAACGTGATTAGTCTATTACTGTACTTCAGTTGTATACAGTTTGGACATTTTATACAAAGCACTGTAATGTATTTTGTTAAATGAATTTAGTAACGGCTTGATAAAAATTTACTTTCATCTTCCATCGTTTGAGTTAGAATGAGTCCACAAGGTAACCATGAACGTACATTTAATGGTTGTTAACACTCATATCAACAATGAACTTGTCATATTTTGGTAAAAAATATTCTGTTTTAGATTTGAAATTCTGTTGCTTACCGTCATACATAAAAATTCCCATCAGTGACTTCATTATATTTCAAAGTTTCTCATCAGCCAAATATGGTATTGTATAGGACGATTTTATTTTTAATCTTATTCTCGATTTAAATTCACCCAAAGGTCAGAATGTATGGAATGTCAGTGTGTTGGATAGTGCAATTTTATGAGTCTTAGTTACTTGAACCTGACTGTAGCTTCTACGTTGACATGGTGGTCGGATTTGTCTATCGTGTTGACTGTAGCACATATTGCTTTAGTTCTTAACATGACAAACAGGTCGGTCTAAGAACATCACTGTAAGTAGAAAATAAAGTTTCAAATACGGAATCGTACTGCTGTGTATATTAAGGCGCGACAGTAGCAAGGTATTTCCCTCAAACAATCGGCGATAGTACTTTTTGACAACGGAAGGAAGGGGTTAGAAGTGATCAACCCTGAAAACCTACGCTTCATCTTGCCGATGACTTTCAGCTGCCAGTGGTAAGACCTTTAGGATACAGGGCTAGTGCATCAATAACTCGGTAAAAAGCTATGTGGAGTTGGCCTTGAGCAATTGTATCTTGGACACCACGGATACGCCATCACGTCATGACCAATCCTTATCTAGTTCCTTTGTTAGGACCCTCGAAAAGAAGTTTCACTAGAATTTTTGTATTGGTCTTCTAATTTAACATTATAATTAATTCCTTCGATTTTACGGTCATATTGTATCAGCTATTTTGTTTCGTTTGTTTCTTATTTTAGATTGTACGAATTAGCTTTGATCATCGGACTTGCGGAATAATACTTTTGTTATTCAAGGCTACCTGTTCACAAAATCATGATATTAATATAGATGGATCGTGTGTTTTTCTTGTTAGGATTGGACAAAACTCGATATAATACTGTAATTCAATGGTATTTGTACAGAATAACATTCTTTTGTACTAATTTAGTATGATATTCTTTCAGTATGATACTTAGCATTCTTTTGCATTAGTTTACTGTAACATTTGCAAAGCTTGTCTGTTTGCATAATTCCACTTTTTATTCCTACTATTTCAATATTGATTTTTGTTGATGATTTGTCAAATGTCAGTAAAATATGTTGATAAATGTATATATTTGGTTAGTGAGGGATTCTTTTAAACAAAATACTCATTTGTTATAATTCAATCTTTATCTCCTTTCTCGTATTGTTAACACATCTTAGTGTTTCTCCTTGTCTTAAGTACCAGTTTTCTGCGGTTGTATCAACTAGCAACGGTGATGGGATTTGAACCTACAAGGGGAAAACCCCAACAGATTATTAACACTCCTTGAAATAAACGTTTCAATGGTTTGTGGCTCTTGGTGATAATTATGTGCTTATTTTTGCTTTGTGTAAGATATTTTCGTCTAATCCAATGAACATGATAATTACTTGTCTTAGAATAATAAGAAGTGAATATAATTAGATTAGGTAGCTAGGTCAGCATCAAAAATCCAGAGTCTTTAATTAAATTGATAATTTAAAATATTCGTAGTTATGCTTACACTACCAATAAAAAAAGTAAATTTATTCTTCACTACTGTTTAGAAATGTGGTAGTTGAAAAAAAAAACAGTTCACACTGAATAGTAATGGCAATGTCTGTTTGTTTTCACTATATGCGATGTTTATTTACTAAAAAATTTATCTGTGGCTTCTTAATCTTTAGCCTGTCAATTTGTTTCTACTTAGATATCATGCAAAATTAGCGTATTCAAACACTCAATTGTCTGGTCACTGAGTAGTGACCAATGTCATGTTTGTTTAGTCTTTTAGTGATAATTAGATCCTAGTGATCAAGTTTGAAACGTAATATGAAAACTTGTTTAAAATTGTATTCATCTTATGAATCGGCGTGACAGATCAACGCAAGCCCTTATGTGAACTGAAACAAAGAACACTTGTGGGGCCCTTGGATGTGTCATTATATGCTTGCCTCTTATATTGTACCTATTGTTCCAGATACATTTTTTATCTGGATTTTGAGCACAACCGTCGCACAATAGTGTTAGCCGAAGTATTATATGGTAAACTAAATGTGAGATGTATATCATCATGAGTTGGAGTGGGAATAGAGGTTACCAAGTGGTGGTTACAAGTTGCACCGTGACCGCTAGTCTCACTGACTCGATGTATGATTAGCGGTCAGTAAACTGTAAAAATATCAGTCCTGCAGGGGGTTGGTTAGCTGAACAATAGAAAATTAGACTGGTAAGCCGAGTGATGTATATTCAAACCACACAGGAAGCATCTGTCTCCAAGATTCCAGGTATAACTTGATGATGAAGGTTAGCCAATATGAAATCTAAGTTCAAAATTTATTGTCAACTACGTTTAGCGATGACTCCGCCTGTAGCTCTTCTAGGGTTACCGCTGACCCCAAGCCTGGATAAAGGATGAGGGCTCGGTATGGGGCCAGCAACCCTATCCCGTAGAAAGCCTTGCTAAGAAGCTAACCAGCATAAGTAACCTTTTAACAATATGGCTCTCAGTTCTATACATACAAGAAGAAGAAGAGTATAGTTGAGTTATTAGTTTCATAGTTGATTGTAGTTAATCTGAATCACATGAGATACAAAGTTACGTTTTTATTCAGAAAACAAGTTCCACACGTGGTAAGTGATGTAACTAAATGAGATGTAAATAGGACTGACCTGATTATGAAAAAATGAACACAAAATGCATATATCAAAGTACACAACATAAGTTGTAGACAAAAAACGACAACAATTGCTTAATGTAGACTATGAAAAAGAAAAATCCTTCGCACTTCAGATCATTATAGAAAAAAAAGATCATGATGTTTGTAAAAAAATATGTCGTCCTAGTGTATTTTGAATAGAAAATAAAAATATTTGTTTCAGATAAAATGGATTTCTGGATATTGTCTACTGTCATGTACATTTAATCTGTAGGCGATAGAGTCCCGAGTCGATATCTCTGAAAAGAAAAAAAAACATATTTCTCATCAGGAAAAGGTGTACCTAACCTGACAACTCGGTAACTACCCACTCACATGAGTATGATTAATCACTGATTCCATGTCTTGACTTGTTTACACAAAAATGTGCAGAAATCCAACTCAGTAGTTAAGAAATCAAAGTTATAAATGGGGTGTCACGTTTTCTAAACCCACTACAATCATTTATTTTCAATAGGACATGATGCCCTACTATTCTTGGACAGTTAGTTTTAATCATTTTCTGGAGTCATTTTAACATACAAACCTACTGAGTTCCACAATTTTGTTGCAAATTTTCACCCGCCCTGCTGGTAATAACATTCTTGTCGTCTGGATTTTCGGGAATTGATCACATCCCGGAAGACCCACTTAATGACTTACAATACGTAGATGGCATAGTCCTATTTGGTGAAGACACTGATAAAATGCAGTCTTTTGGCAGCAATGATCAACAATGCCATAATATTTGGAATGCGTTTCTTCCTCCCTAAATGCGAATTGTTGCTTGAGGACTGGCCTGCGTCAACAGCCGAACTAAGGATAGGGAGTGAATTAGTCGAACGCGTTGACAACTTCACTTATCTTGGAAGTATGATTAGCCCTAATGGGTTGGTGTTTGATGAAATCTCTGCACGGATTTAAAAGGCTCGTTTGACTTTTTCCAACTTGCATCATCTATGGCGGAGGCAAGATATCCGTCTATCGATTAAAAGACGCATATACTGCGCAGCAGCTCGTTCTGTTACGGCTGCGAAACGTGGTCATTAAAAGTAGAGGATATCTGTAAGTTGCTAGTACTTGATCACACGTTTTAGAAATATTGCTCACATCTCCTCGGATCACCGAGTAAGTATGTCCAACCACTAATTATCACGGCACACAATGCTGATTTGTATTGGAGACTAATGAAAGAAAGTTAAGGGGGGCCAAACCAAAACTTGGCATCAGTTCGTAAAGTCACTAAATTCTGGCCTGAGTCATATTGGTAGACGCAGACTACTTTGTGGCAACTCGGACCGATGCATGTATGTGCCTGGTCGTTCGTTGTGGATGACTGAATGACTCTTCAAGTTGACTTTCCGTATCGAACTGTTAAAAATAGTACTTCTAAGTATCATTCCGTTTTTACTCAACCTGTGCAACGGACTTTTAAGTTGGCCTTAGTAATTTAGATTATTATTTTTTGCGTAGTTCGTATAATTGAAAAGTGAAGTTAATCTACATAGATCGTTGATGTGAATAAGTCTATGATATTTTGTAGAAATGAAATCACTTCCTGGGTTGTGTTTTCACCATGAGCTACGTCTGTTTCCATTATTTACTAATTCTTAAAGAGACTTACATGTACCATGTTCCCCTGATAATTCACGAGGAACACTGACATCCTACCTATATATTTGGTCTAGATGAGTTGACAACGGTTAAAGTAACGAGTTTTATCGGACTGCAGTTTGTTTTACTTAACTCCAGAAACACATCCGTTTTTAGCTTATTGGTATTGTTCTTCTATGAAGGTAGTCGATGTCCTTACATTTTCGAATACTGTATCTAGTCTGTACTTATTATTCTGAAATGGAACAGATTTGAAACTCAACCTATTTGTTGGACTTAAATGATTTTATATTACTCACATAGGTAAGTTAGTCTAACTGACCAAATTAAAATGATCTCAACATCAACTAACTTTTTCACACATTTTTGTTTAAAATCATTCATTGACTCAGAGAACTGGCTAAATGTTATGAAATCAACTTGGGAAATGTACTTCAGCTATTTGGATTCTCAGAAAATTCCTCTGTTTGCATGTATGTAGGGAATGGTTAAAGAAACTAAGTTTTAATAATGTATTACATTCTACCCACCCTCCTCACCAAAATGGAGTGTAACTTACCATAAAGATTAGAATGTTAATGGCTTTGGAAACCATTTTCATTCTTTTTCGAAACCATCATTTGGATATTCAGGCGCTGCTATGGCTTCTGACGTCTGGTTAACTTTAGGCGGTATGTTAGGACGTTGTTTAGTTTTTGGGTCATTCACGTAACCACCGTTCAATCGATAATATGAAAATAAGATAAATGTATCAATGCCGTAAAATACGAAGCTGACTGCAAATAAAATCTATGGGTTTAAAAAAAGCGTTGTCAGTGAATGCATTTATTAAAGGAAATATGAATGTACGATTTATATATTTGTAGTAAATCAGAAGCAACTTCTAAAATTTCATCAAACACAAATATACTTTAATTAGTTACGTGATGAAAACTAATTTCAAATACTATAACAGACTCATAGAATTAAACACCTCATGAAGATGGATCCGTAAAAGAAATTGAATTTGAAAAATTCACGTTGTCTGTCTTTATTAATGGTTCTTAGTATTGAATCATTGTAAAAAGCCCACATTTAGTTTGTCTGAAGCAAATGTTTACTGTACAGCTTTTCTTGGTTTTTGTGTTAGTATTTCATTGACAGCGGGATTTATGACTTGTAACTTTAAGATTAGTACCTTCTGAACGGTCGTTATAATTTTTAATTAGATCAAGTGTTTATCGACAAATTTAGTAAACATATACATATTAGTGTAGACCCATGATGAACATCTGGTTGAAAAGAAATATTTACTAACTCTGATTGCTTTTCTTTCTTACTAAGTGTCTGGATAAGAACTAATGAAATAGTTATTATCTCCATTTGACCGATGAAATAATTAGATACACTTAAACTATTCTAATTTCAATAACAAATTTGTACATATGGTAGTCTTAGGATCATAGTGTGCACAGATGAAATTTATTAGATTAATTGATTAATATATAGGGTGATAATAAAATGTTAGTGATATGGTATCATTTTATTAATAGCTTGTGCAAATTTTCTGTTTGTATTATATTTAGTCAATTAATAATGTTGATAAATGGGTTTATGGAGATTGTTGAGTTTCATTAGTGAGTGAATTTGTTAAACACCCTCTGAAAATGAGGAAAAGTTCAATAGCTGTTTCTTCATAGGGCTCTTCATGAGAACCACACAACCCACTGAGAATCAAACCTTAGGACCTTCAAATCTCGCATTGAAGACTTAACCTTCAGATCACTGATTCAGTTTACATTTATGACTTCGATTGATAGATTTTCTAGTTTCGTTGCCAGTTTATATCATAAAGTACTGAACTAATGAGAACTGAACAAATTGTCTTATGATAAGGCAACTTAAACTCAGATACTGTATCAGACAGTTTGCACATTCAAAGTATGAAAATATTTTAAAATTAAGTTACTAACATAAATCATTCATTAACGAAATGAGCAATACTTTTGATTAGAAAAATTGTATTTCATATAAAAAATAAAAGTTGATCGTTAAGATGTCTGATTCGCTCGAATGGAATGCAACATAGAAGTATGAAAAAATGTTCTTAGAGTTTCACCTAGTAGATGATTTTGAAAATAACTGGAGTGAGCATCCACTTATGATTGCCATTTGACTAATTACGTATTTAAGAACATACCCCATGTGCACGAATTATTCGGGTTTATTTTAAATTTATTGCAAACTGACTAGCATAGGAGGTAAAAGGACAGAAAACCAAAGGAAAATTTAGTCTAGAAGTTTAGTCATGCCACTGTATTACTTCATATCAATGTGATAGGTGGTCAGTTATAATCAATGTAGGAGCCTATTCGAATACGTGATAGTTCAATTTAGCGTACCACATCAATATAACGAGATGAAGTTAAAAAGATGATTAGCAGAGGAGCTAAAATGGTTATCTTAACAGTGATAACGAGGAGACTAAAATATTGAGAATATGGTTTGCGAAAACAATAAAAAAGTGTATATTAAGGAACTTTAACAACGAGCGAATGCAGCTGTATCGTTGTGACTGATTGTGAGCCATGTTACCTAATGTATTAAACTATTGGTTACGGTAATCGTGTCAACCCAGATTAGGCAGTCTAAATCTACCAATGGCGCTCAAACCACCAGTCAATAGCTTGATAGACTACTGCCAAGTTTTATTTTGACCTTCCAACTTAATTCCACGCCAGGTCAACACTTTGAACAAAGACAATGAGAATACAATTAACCGACAAATTGAAATATTAACCAGCCAGTGAAAAACAAAATAAGCCTGTACACAACTTCTTTAACAAAACATTTTGTAAGATATTGCTGTAAACTTTCACGTTCCCCTAAAATATAATCAAAGCATCTTGTTTCCGGTTATTTTTACGTGTATTTCTACAGGATCTTGAGGTCTATACTTTACCCATCTCTTCATCCAAGACAGTCTTGAACTCTGCCATTTCACCTGATTTGTTAATTATTACAGTACATTTTATCTATAATGTTGGGGAAACTCATGATACTTCAAATATTTTAAATATTTCCAATTGAATTCTACCTGGAACAATGGTGAATGTGTTTCTAGGTGACAAGTTCAAAAAATAAATTTTACTGATGAGTGTTAATTAGCATAAAAGATTGGTTGAAGTTAAACATTAACGACATTGGATGCGCCGGCTCAGTGGTCTTAAGATTAAGCGATCGCACGCAAGATCGAAGGTCCTGTGTTCAAATTTCGCGGGTGGAATCGTGAATGCACATTGCTAAGGATTCCCACAATAGAACGAAACGCCGTCCAGTGCTTCCAGGTTTTCACTGGTGATCTAACATCAATCTTAATCAAAAACTTATTAATCTCCACAACCCTATACTGATAACACTAAAGATTGTTGGATTACTGACTATCGCACAACCAACCACTTTACAGCAATTTCATGATGTTAATTTCAATAACTCATCACTTTTATGAGTCTTTAATCGTATATTGAAAATGATAATCTGCCTTAGTGAAATAATTTATAAATTATATATTTTTTGTTTATCCACGAAACTATTAAATGTCTATAAAAAGACTATCAATCAGTATTCAGGTGTTTTATTACTCAAATTACATCAATGTTACTTTCATTGTAAACTTACATTTCTAAGCTGACATTATTAACAAATTAAATTTGTTGATCATATTAATAAGAATGATGATACATGTGATCAGTTAATCATCTATATAAAGAACTATATGCATATGACGGCTATTTTCTTCAAAAATTTCATATTCATTTTATGAAGCTGACGTAATGTTATTTTTCAAAGTAGTTGATTCAAGTTTTATTAATGATTTAAATAAATAGATAATTGTCAAGATACTTAACTCTTTTTGGTGTAGTGTCAGTGCAATCCTTAGTGATGTTCAAATTCTATTAGTGTCTATTAGTGTCTAAGTGACTCGGCATCGTGTGAACCATGTTGAAATGTTCGAGTTTTAGAAGTAGTAGGCGGGATGTTATACTTAACCTAAGTTTAGTGCTAGTTAGGACTCATCAACAAGGCGGATATATAATCCAAAAAATATTAATATTTTCTGTGCGATTCAAACCAACTTCACAATCTTAGACGGTACCACTGAGCTATTCATGTCACTTGGACTAGTATCTACATTGGAACTGAATAAACACAATTTGGTCGATACTAAAGGACTAACTAAAGTGAAATTGGTCACCTATCAGTGATCAATAATTTGTAAGATATTTAATTCCTACAGTAGATCGGTTGTTCTCTTAATAACTCACTTCAAACACGATTCCAGGTACGCCTTGATGATGAGTACCAACTCTCACGAAACCTAGAATCCTAGTTTCTTGTTGACTACTGTTGATCATCTAATGTATAGTTTATTATCTAGAAAAAATGTAGAGGAAATTTCCTTTTCTAGTAAATTAAATCATATCTATGGACAATGTAAATTTTAATGTGAACCTCAACACAGAGATATCGCAAGTACACTTAACTGATCGTTCCAAAACAGTATAAAACATGTATCCTTAATCTCACGATTAGCCACATATCATATATTAGTTACTTATATAGAGTTTGCACAAAATTAAATCTTCTAGATTATTGATTTAATTTTTTCTTTATCATTGCCAAATTAACATCCAATGTAGAATCATTACAAAAACAAATAAACCTAACAAATAAATCCATTTTTAGTGGTACTCAAAACTTTCTATATTTAGTGAACGTTATATCTTTGGACTATTGAATCATCACATTATGTTCAACACTTTCAACGTTCACCAATTCTTGAAGTCGATGTTAGCAAACTGGATAGATCTAAACCCTCTTGCTAAAGATTCCAACAATTTACAATATAACTTGTCATTGTTATCACCGAAGATTTACAGATAGATATGGTGTTTTTCTTTAAAATAGAAAGTTTGAGTAGTTTTACACAAAACTATACAGGAACATTACATTGAAACAAACATGTACAGTTTGGATCTAATATTACTTTCAATCATGTATATATCATCATTTTTATGTGATTAAATTTAATAACCGGCCTAAAAACAAAAATTCGAAAGTAGTATCACCTAATCAAATGTATAATTATATGTAAGAAAGTGTTTCATTTATGCTTACATTTTTGATGTTAGTTAATTGAAAATGGTTATCAGGAAATAATCAGATGAAGTTTTCATGCTGATTGACAGTCATTAGATGGTATTATCAAAAAAATCTAATATAACTGATGCTCCCTGTGGTTGATTGAAAACTACACCCCTCAAATATGTTAACATGTTACTATCCAGTGGTCAGTTAAGTGTAAATACCGAAATTCCATTGAAGGCTAGTTAAATTCCCAATAGGCTACTGTTTAATTCTCGCATTGTGACACTAAGTGACAGAGTTTTATATCTCAAAAATAGTAAAACTTTCCTAAAAATTGTTTACTGCTAATGAATGCTTACTAGCACAAAACTATGATACACGATGTTTTGCCCATTACCTTCAACTAGCTAACATCCAATACACAGAAATACAATGTTTATTTTACAACTTGTTAAAAGAAACACGAAATTACCACTTGAGAGATAGAATTAGACCAATATATTAAAGGACGAGAAAACATGATAACTGTTACAATCAAGCAAGATTAAGTATGACTTACATTACAAAAGGTATCTTCATGAGTTTTTATCATACCATTGATGTGAAGTCAATGAAATAGTACAAACAAACAATTATCTAATTCTATAATTAAGAATTTTTCATACCTAAATCATTCTTAGGTACCTCGTAAAATCAGCATGTCATTTCAGTTTTTATCCCTGTAGATTAATTCAACAATCGATAGTTTTGAAGTGTACTTAGAAAAAAAGTAGCAGATATGTAAATACTTTTTAAATATTTCAGTCAGTCAGTCAGCTACAACGTAGGACCAGGCACATATATGCATCGGTCCAAGTTGCTATACCTCATTAACACAACAAGATGGACACCGGATTCATAAAAGTAGCTAATTCAGAGGTGGTGACATATAAAAGAAAGATTGAGAAAACATGTATAAATTTATTTGCAAGAATTTATATAATTACAATCTGAATATTCAAAAAAAAAGTTTGCACACTTAGATATCATTAATAATTACTATTGTATAAATAATGCCAGAAGATTAATAATAAAAAGGAGACTATTTCACTGATTGTTCACAAAAGTGGGTAGATATTTATTTATTACTAATAAAATGAAAATTAACGATTATCATTTGTAGGAATTTGTATTACTGAAAACCGTATTTCATCTATCCTTGTCAGTATATAGGATTTGTTGACTGGACGTTTTGATGTTGCACATACATTCAGTCAGTTATTATTAGAGTAGAGCCTAGAAAAAATATTCGTTGGCTCAATTTTTTATTAGCATATTAGATTGACGAAACAAAATTAACAATCAGTATAGCTTAATAGGTTGAAGTAATGTAGTAGCAAGGAGAATGAGAAAGACTAAGCATTGAGAATATTATTCAAAAAGGTAGTGTGTAAAGGTATGGAGAAACACTAGCACAGAAGATATGGAGAAAAATCAAGAGTGAGTACATCTGTGCCATCATGAGTGATTCTGGGGCATGTTATCCAGTCTCCGGTCATAAATCGTATATGCACTTAAAAGTTAATTATAGTTTTGAATAATGACTTGGAGTAGAATCCATAAGTATACTTGCGTCCTATTTGGGCCTACTCATTAGCTTGGTGTAACTACACTGTAATGTTGCTGTTCACATGGAGACTAAAACATAGTACATGTCGTCGTAGACATAAACATTGGAGTGCAAGTGCAACATACCGACGAATCCCAAGTAGGAAAAAAAACATGCTTCATCGAATCTACTTTTAACAGCTAAGAATAAAATAACAATGTGTGGTGAAAATTATTGCAGGAGTTAAGCTATTCAAATTGATAGACACTATACTTTGTAAATTTTTTCTAAATATTTTATAATTTATATAACAGACAGATTTTAACTCGACCAGACTTGTTTTCGAACGTAGGACCTTATGTCTCAATGTGACTGTTTAAATTCCAGACCAATAGGCTTCGATCCAATAGTGTACATTTCTAAATCAGTTTAAGACATTGCTCGACTATTTTTCATTACATGAGATAAATAACTGTCCCACATTCAAAATAGTTGTACTACACAGATCATGTCTCCTTTCTAAAACTTTAGGAATCGCATTTCGAAACTAATCACTAATGATTATTATTAATCTAAGGTTTCTGAATTTTTGTAGTTCAAACTGGAAACTTACCACAATTTTTTATTTTGATGGAGTTTTGTTCTCCGAGCTGGATGGTTTAGTCGTGGAGCTTTCATCGTTCTTCTGAACGACATCATCAGCACAACCTTCAAGTAGAATTGAAGTGTTCGAATATCTCCACATGTGATTCACATGTAGTATTTGTTCAACAATGAGTAGAAGACTTGAAATGATGAAAAAATGTATCTCCTGAAACTCATTGATTTATTTAACCTTAAAAAAGTACCTTCCACTAATTTATTTTATTATAAAGCGAGTTATTCAACAAAGAAGGAATGGAAGAAATAAACAATTTCCTGTTTATATTAATAAATTTTCTACTTATACTCTTAAAAGCATTAATTCACCAATGAAATTTCTTCCATTTTATTAAATTTGTATTCTCTGAGCTGGATAGTATTCAGTTGTGAAGACTACTATGTAATTCTATACAAAGTTAATAGCATAAACCTACAGTTAATTTTAAAAACTATATACCAAAGTCAATACTTAGCATAAAATAAAGTGTATGAAGAACAATCATCGGATTATCTTAGTAAATATTAAATACATAAGAGAGATTACAACTAAGTTATTGAAACAGATAGGAATTAAGTTGAACTAGTTAAACAGTGATATTTTTTAAGAGGCAATACAAATAAGATTAGTGGAATTTTTGACAGTTAAATATTCATATTCATTCATTGAAATCATGAAGCCGTCAATGTTAAACTACCATTGAAAACCTCACTAGTGACTAGTTGTGAGAGGGAATTCTCGGGGTCCTAGTGAAAATTTGTGACCAATGGAGTTCAACCGTATCGAGTGTGGGGCAGTTAGCCACTGTAAACAATAGAAGATGGTCGCGCGACGTCGTGGATTGGTTCGATTTAGACAATAACATCGTTGGATGCCAGTTCACCGGTTTAGACGTTAAGTGTTCCCGTGAGACCAAAGGTCCTAGGTTTGAGTCTCGAGTGTGGGATCGTGGATATGCACTGTTGAGGAGTCTAATACTAAGATCAAATAGACAGCCCGTGCTTCCAGGTTTTCACTGGTGGTCTAAAACTGAGTAGTTCATGATTTCAACAAAAATGTCGGTTTCAATAAAAATAGTGGGAATAAAGAATTTATTTTGAAAATCAACTTACTGCTGAGGCTATCGAAGCTGAAGAACCTCCACCAGTTGCGGCTGCTATAATCATCGCGATAAAGGCCAAAATAGCACAGAATTTTATCGTAATAAATTCCTATATGTGAATAAAGTGGAAGAAACAAATAGGAACGTATATATCGGCATAGGGTTGTGGCGGTTGTTGAATTTCACTGAAATAGAAAACCAATCAAACTTAAAACTTTTATGAAAAACGTGGAAGCACCCTAGTATCGAATTTTGTGACTGCATAACAGGGTATCAAACCAAGGGCTCCTTGCGGGCTCAAGGATCTTCGCTGATGAGGAAGCCCACAATGGGAGGAAAAGCCATCCAGATTTTCAATGATTGTCTAACTTCCGTCAGTTCATGAATTCGAAGAAGAGTATGTGTTAATATGAACACAAATATAGTATCAGAATATATAATTCGCTATGATGGATCGTGGATATTATTTTATGTGAATGATATCATGGAATGTCTTAAGTTAGACATTCTGGTTTTCAGTGAATGTCTGACTTAAGTTGGTTCATAATATCAATAATCTATACTTTAACGTGGTATTGTATTATATAAAATAATGTTACACCTTAGCACTACTAAAGAGAAGGTTAATAAAACATTAAATCAGAAACATTCGATGGTACGGAGAAATTTATTGCTTCAATCATCTTTGGAAATTAGACAACTACAAACATTAGTCTGCTCAGTTCATTCTGTTTTGGGATTCTTCATTAAGAGTTTATCACCATTAAATTATGAGCCAGACGAAAATGTAATTATATATATCATCCAAAATAGTTGTTTATTTATTTCTACGACGCAATCTAAGTTTTTTTCGAAAAGTTACACATACCAGCAAAACTTTGAGATTGAGCAAGTTTGGAAGTTTTATTACTGTAATACAAACTTCATATTAAAATTTGATAAGTAAACTGGTTGTTCAGAAAGATTCACATTTACATATTTTATCTTAAGTGTTTGGAGGTAATCAATAGGAAACTCTGATTGACCTGGGTTTCCTGATAGTTGGCATTTGTCATCAAGGAGTACTTGTAATTTTGAAAGAACAAATTCTACCTCAGGAATTCAAATCTACATCAAAATATCCCCGCAGCCAGAGACGCAATCACTGAGATGACTGACAAGACATGTTATCCATGATGAGCCCCTACATTTACCCTAACCACTGAAAAGTTTTTCTACAGATAACTTAATTATTAGAGGTCAAATTCCTGCAATTTCATTTACATCAATCACTAAAAAATGTCTATGAAAACTCAAATTAATTTAGCGAAAACGATAACTGACTGAAATAAACTAGAAAACACTTTGGTAATTCAATTTCAGTAGTTATGAACAGAAATGTAGTCGAAACTCAGAAATTGTATTATGTGAACCCGTTGACTTTATTAACATAATTATAAAATACGAAAAAGTTCAATAAATAGAACGGTTTCATAGCAATGTATTCAAGTGGCCTTTATCATTTGGCATCCTTTAAAACAAGATCGTCTGAAACATTGTCTTTAGATAACATATTATTAATCTAGTTTTAATTGGGGTCTAAATTCAATGAAAAAAGTATTGAAAATGATGATAATATTACAAAGTTAATTGGTCTTGACATGAAACACTTCATGCATATAAATTGAAAACTCTATTGGTGGTCGAACTCAGGATTTGATGCTCCCGTTCCGAAAATAATAAAATGAAGCAGTAATTTGGAAATCTGCTATCCACATTTACAACTTTGGTTTATGTGAGATATGGTACTTGACGATCTGTCATGCCATCAACGATATGTGTTTTTATACATGACAATGCTGAGCTTCTACCATTTAGCATTTATATTGCAACCTCAAAAATCCTTTTTGAGTTTGGTCTGGATTTTGATTTATAGCTAAGTCGTTTGTGTTTGTTGTTGTTAACAGAAGAATTGATTAGAAGTCCCTGGATTTCAGTAGTCTTTAGCTGATACCAATCACAGTTAAAGACGAATATTACACTGTTAATAATTTTCTCTAATCCCTTAATTTTAGACATATGTCTATTTCTAGTGGTAGTATAATATGCGAAGTGCATGAATCTATCATATGTTACTTTGTACAATTTGCTAACCGAAATGTTACTGTTTGTGTTAAGTATAAAAAAATTATCTAGAAAAATAAACTACATTACAATAATAAATTTCTGATTATTTATACTGATATTAATCTTATGTGTTATGTAATTTATCTCTTCAGTTTTTCATTACAATCTCCACAAAACCCATCTGATATTAATCAACATATGCTCACTAGTGACTGGCTTCACAAGGTATATCCTGGAGTTCTAGTGAGAAGTAGTGACCAGTGGAGTTCAACCAGGTCTGTTGTGAGATAGTAACTCACTGAAGACGATGGTGAATGTGTCGCTCAATTTTGTGGATTAGTTGAAGTTAGACATTAACCCCGTTGGATGCCGACTTAGTGGTCTAGTTGTTAAGTGCTCGCGCGAGAAACCAGTAGGTCCTGGGTTCGAATCTCGCAGGGGGCGAGGTTGTGGATGCGCACTGCTGAGGAGTCCAGCAATAGGACGAAATGGCCGTCTAGTGCTTCCAGGTTTTCCATGGTGGTCTAGCTTCAAATGACTCATGATCTTAACCATTGAAATTACTACAATCTCCACAAAACCCATTTGATATTTTCCAGAAAAGTTTCCATTCAGATTTGTGAGTAAAAGTTAATAACCAAAAAAACAAAAAAAATTAATGATAATTCTTTCATACACTAAAGATTCTATTATGAAAAAATAATGAGACATTTAACAATGTGATATGATGAGTCTGTTTTAATCATAGTCTGATTACCAGAATAAATAAAATTAAATACTGACCGAATATTCGGAATAAAATTTTTGAACATATCAACATTCAATTTTTAAATCCTTTAACGATAAAATATTTTTTTCCATTGGACAAATTGGTAATTTTCTGAACTTTTTTAAAAGTTTAAAGTAATAGGCACGGAGTTCGAATCTTAGATTACAGGTATCTTCAGTTGATGAGTTAAGAATAGAGTAAGTAGGATGTTGTGGATTCTGTTGTTTGCCATAAATATCATAAAACTTCCAAATAGGCTGATTGATGTAGGTAATAAGGGTTTATAAAGAATAATTTCATTATTTTTGTCACTTAATAAAACTAATAGGAAATAAATTTTCAAGACATTAACAATTTTGTGAGTAAAACATCCAGACAGTTAAAGGTGACGTTGAGAGAGCATAAATAATGTTTGAAATCTTTTAATAAATCCTTGAAAGACTTTATGAAGCTTAAGAATCAGTGAACAGTAAAACTAAACTGGTTAGTGACAGTAAATAAGATTGATTTTGATGGAACCAAACAATTTCAGAAATGTCTTTGTGCTTTTATAGAAAGATGAACAGCTGATGTCTTGGTTATAGGGAAAAATCAAGAAATTTTGGATAGAAGAGATGGAATACCGTTAGTAACACCTTGGTAGCTATCGATTTATGGAAAAATACATCGTTATTAACATTTATCTCAGTCCATACCACGCATAACATGACTTCAATAACAAGGAATTTTAATTAGTTAGTCAGTGATAACGTTCGGATTTATTTTCAAGAACTTTTAATTTTAACTTCACAACATACCATACAACTATTTCTTGGTAAGTTTAATGTTTTAATAGCAATTACATGCAGAGGTATGTACACACACTCATACATATGTCATATTTGCACTCATGTCACATCAAATAACCGATATTCTCGTTATATATCGAATCAATATTTGAGCACGTTTAGACGAGAGTTTAATATAAACTTTATAGGCCTTATTTACCCTAGATAACTTTGATTTTGATTATTTCGCCATGTGACTCGTCTAAGTTGTTAAAATCTCGATTGCTCAGGTAGTTTCAAATATATTGTATGCATCTAATGTCTTTTATATACTGAGCCTCCAGTTCCCGTCAAATTTTTCATATTTCGAAAGGTTTTCATATCAATCACTGAAATTCGTCAAAATTCCTGTGATAGCATTGAAAAAGTACATTACGTAGCCACCAGTACATCAACATTATCCTTGGTTCATATATGAAAACGGTGCTACTATTATGAGTGTATAAAATTAACTATATAGAAGAAATCAGAAGTCTAAAAAATCGAATGAATCAAAATAACCTACTCGCTACTCATAAAAAAACTATGAAATTTAGCTAAACGTTGAAGTAGACCGATTATGTATGAAGAAATTATATTCACTAGTTGAATTTATGAGTCAATCGAAGCTAAACCATTATGGGAAACCTGGAAGCACTGGATGGCCATTTTTAGTTGGTGGAGCGATTTATCTGGTTGATTCTAACAACAAACAAGACTTTAACCTGCTAAATAGTAGACTGATCCTCTGTGCTCGTCTAAGGCTCGGCTTCCATTGCTTTTTCATGGAGTAGTGTGGTCGTGGTACGGCGGGTGCATTGCCAAGTTTAATTCTTAGAGGAAAAAGTGGAGCACCTAAGTCGCACGAAATTGAGCAATAACAAGTATGTGATGCCCTTAGATGTCCAGTGGCCACACGTGCGCTACAACAACAGTACCAGCGAGTCTGGAAACCTAGCCTGGAAAGGTTTGGCAAACTGTTTCATCGTGACTGGGATCTAGGCTTGCAATTATTCCCCATGAACGAGAAATTCCAGTTAAGTGCAAGTCATAAGCTAAGCCTGCCCTTTGTACACACTGCCCATCGCCACTACCCATTAAATGGTTTTGTGAGGTCGTCGTAATGGCTTTACCATTCGACTGATGCTGAAATGACTTAATTTTCATAGGTAAGCTTATTGAAAAATCATTGTCATAACTCAAAAATATATAATAAAGCATGCAGCTGACTTCGTGCTGAACTGAATGTACGCTAGCTTAGTGATATTTTACCCTAAGCTTCACTGGTGCTTTAATCAACACATGAATTCATCTTTTAAAATTACTACAATCTTTGCACACACAAAACAAAATATACCCCTAATCTGAAAATTATATTCAATTGAAAAAATGAACGTATTATCAAGGATAAATATTATTGGTGAAGAA